GGGAAGCCAGGACCAGAACCCAGCAGACGTGCTGCTTCACACTGCTGTCCCGGCAGGCCCATCACCTCCTAGCTTGGGGCTTTGCTTTTAGTAATAATGGAAATTAAAACAAAATCATACATCTATAGAAAAAAAAAGCTTGAACTGGAAAGCTAGAGGGAAGATAGGAAAGGACTCCAGCCTAGGTAGCTGGAGGGCACACGCTTGATTCAGGGGTTCAGACTGGCTCACCCTCAAAGGTGGGAGGCCAGCTTTTCGAGGTGGCCTGGGGTCCGGTTGGTGATGATTATCACAGCCCTGGTGTCGTGGCTCTGGAATCTTTATGGCTGAGGGAGGGACGGTTCCCTTCCAGGAGAGGACTATCTGTCTGTGGGGGTCTCAGTCATGTGGACTCCGCCTTCCCTGGAATCCAGGGGATCAGAGGTTCAGGACAGTGGCTGGAGGCTTCCAGTATGCCTGAATGTCCCTGAAAACCTCCTATCTTGGTGTCCTCAGCCCTGAAGGGGGATTTGATGTTGTAATTTAGGGCTAATCAATCTTGTTTTGCCAACTTTCAGACACTCCCTAGATGACTGGCATCTATGTGCAGAGATAAGAGGAGATTTGATCCAAGATTTATAGCAACAAGGGATGAAAGTCAAACTTCGTTTTGCTTTTAGTTACCTATTGGGCATCTGTAGGCCCAAGTGAAGGTCATGGTTTGTAGCAAAGTTGGCTTCTAAGTCCCTGGCTGTCCCAGGAGAAAACACAAATCATGCTTCTGATGAGCAGTAGGAAAAGGCCCAGGATTCCCCCTCTTTCCCCATCCCTGCAGCGATGATCCCTGACTATGTTATTGTTACCAGGAACCTGGGCCCTAACACGACGAGGTCCCAGTACTGCAAGGAACAGGCAACACACCTTGTTTTGTCACTGTGATCTGCGACATCTTTCTTCTGTAGCTTTGTTGGATTTTTTTTTGTACCGGGGATTGAACTCAGGACCTCAGGCTTGTGAGGCAGGTGTGGTGACACTGAGCTAAATCCTCGGCTTTGTTGGAATTTTTGACCTCTTGTTGACTAACCCCCCAGCTCCTATACACTGGATTTACTCACATTCTGCTGCGGAGAAAATGCAGACGGGGTGCAAAGCCCTCTGATGAGCAGGTTAATGGTACAGCAGAAGGGAGACTGCCTGGGTGGGTGGGAGGAGGGAAACTAGCACCAGGGGTGGCCAAGGAGCTTGCAAAGTCCCATCTCACAGCCCTGCACACAGAGTACTGAAACCCACTACACAGCTGAAGAAACTTGCCCAAAGCAACAGCCAGCCTTAGGCCTGGGGGTCCAAGATGGACTCCTCCTCTTCCTTTACAGTGTGGGACGGTTGTCGGACACAAATGAGTGCTTGAAACATAGCATTTGCCTGTCCTCTCTATAAAATCTGAGAAACTCACTGCCTCAGAGCTGCAAGGCTGAGTCATCCCAGCTTGGAAGAAGGAATATGCCTTGAGAGGTAAAGGTATAGCCAGTTCTGCTCATCGGCCACCACAATCCCTTGAAGCAAAGTGCTGGAAAAGATCAGCATCTTGCCTTTGTCCAGGTAAAGTCTACAGTTCAGTTCCCCATCACTAGGAAATCCACTCCTGTCAGGTTCTGTCTCGTCATAATGTTGTACTATTTTTCACTCGTTCGGTGGTTTTCTATCCAGGGAGAGTTCAATAGGTAGGAAGCGCACTCTTTCTGGGCTCTGGCCTTTGGAAAAGCAGTCTTGTCCTGTTTATGTTTCCTCTCTCTGGATTTGCCCAAGCTGACCACAGAAATGTCCTCCTCTGGGGCCAGGTAAATAGAGGCAACCAAATAGTCTGCCATCAGCAATGGCTGTTGAGCAATCAAAGGAGGTCAGAACCTTGTACTCAGCAACTGTGTTAAATATAGAAGAAAACAGCAGCCCCAGGCTGCTGACCTTGAGTGGCTGTAGCAGAGACTTATTCCCATCTGAGGTGGAGGCCACACATTCCAAGTTCTGAACCCTTTGTGGGTGTGGCTGTCGGTCTAGTCCCCCCTCCAAGCACCTCTCCAGTTATGCCACCAAACAAGGGCGAGGAGGGCAGTGTGACGAAGAGGGAAGTCTGTTTGTGAACAGTGAATATCTGAACAAATCAGGTGTCTTTGATTTAAAACTTTTTCGCAGGGCATGGTGGTGCATGCCTATAATCCCAGCACTTGGGAGGCTGAGGCAGGAGGATTGCTGTGAGTTCAAGGCCAGCCTGAGCTATGTAGCGAGACCCTTCTCAAATACATTTTTATTAATTTTAATTTTTATATGTTTGCAGTACATAATGATTATATTTATTTTGGGGAGTTGGTACACATATATGACACATCTCAATTCTTTTTACATCCCCTTCCATTGTCTTTCTTAGAAAACAAAACTGGAACAAGAGGCCTGTGTCTGGACTTTTAAATCATCTTCAAAAAGCCAGATGGGAAGAGAATGATGCAGGGATTAGTGGGGCAAATGGCCATGAGGAGGTCTTTCCCAGGGAGGATGAAGGGAGAAGGTGCTTCTCCATGCCCAGGGGTGTGGGGCAGGGAGATGGAGAAAGGCAGAAGAGGTAGAGAAGGAAGCCAGAATCTGAAAGCCCCAGGTCACCATTTGAGTGTGTCATGGCTAAGGCCCCTGAGGCCAAACAGTATGGGGTAGCCCATCAAAAACTGGATGTTCTTTCACCTCTGAAGCCTCAGAATGAAACCAGCCAGATTTCCCTGTTTGTTCACCAGCTCTTTCAGAGATATGACCAGTAAATCTCATTTTCAGCCATTCCTTCCAAGGCTGCTTTTGTTTGTTTTACTTAGGAGGAAAGATCTACTATTTGTATAGGGATCTGCTGTGGAATGGGAGTGGGAGGACTGCCTACAACCCCTCCAGGAGCTCTGCAGTGGAGGTGATGTTGTCACATCACCTCCACAGGTGGTAATGGTTCAGTTCAAGTAATCTGTGATATTGTGAGGTGCAGACCTGTCCCTTGGAGCCCAGTAAATACATTTGTCCCCTAGGGAGATGTTGTCCTTGGAGGAAGAGGCTGGGGAGAGCAAGAAACTTCCATACCGTGCTTGTGTTTTCTGTCACTGCTCCAGGAGCTCCAGCTCTTCTGATCCATCCTACCATCCTGATCTAAGCCTCTCCTCCAGCCTGGCCTCTCTGCTTTTATTTTTTGCCTCCTACAGTTTACTTCCCACACAGTGACCATGGTGGTCATTTTTTGTTCTGTTTTCTATTTAGTTTTGTGAGATGGGGTTCTCATTATGTAGCTCAGGCTGGCCTCAAATTCACAGCGATCCTCCTGCTTCAGCCTCCCAAGTGCTGGGATCAGAGGCGTGTGCCATACGCCTAGTTCACAGTCATCTTTTTAAAAACATAAATATCTTGTCACTTTGCTGCTCAAAACTCTTCAAATGCGCCCATGGCTGAGTAGAATTTAAACCCCTTTGTCATGGGTCTCTGGGCCCTAACATGACTTGCCTGCTGCTGACTCCATCTTTCAGCTCTCTTCCTGTGGGGGGCTCCGCTGCAGCCACACTGACCTTTTTGGGCCACAGACGTTCCCTGCTCTGGGATTCTGTATTGGTTTTTCCCACAGTAGCCTCTGCTCTTGTCACCTATCAGGAAGGTCTTGTCTGACCACTCAAACTAAATTAGTCCCCCTTCCCACACCTCCGTTACTCTAGTTCATTGGCTTCATAGAGATTGCTAAGATACTAAGTCGATGGGACTCGCCTATCATTTGTTTTCTTGTTTGCTTTCCCCTGGGCAAGACCCCAACACAAGTTCCTGGACAGAAGGGACCAGCCTACTATCCAAGCTCTAGTGCTAAGCAAAACCTGGTGCATAGTAGTTCTAGTATTCGCTGGATACATGACCTTTTCAAACCCTAATAATAATCTTGTGAGGAACGTGAGAAAGGGGAGGTGCTGAGCATTAGAGACTTGCTGTCTGACCACGGTACTCCTTCCTCCTTCCTTCCTTGCCTGCCCCTCGGGGCTCCCTATCTTCCCCACACACTTATTCCCTCCCCTAGGAGGGCAGGCCGGACTCCCATGGCCTATTCAGAGCGGGGTGCAGCTACTCTCACGCCCTGTCATATTTTGAGGGGCTCGCAGATGTCCCCTTTCCTAAAATGGATCCTGTGGGTGCTCCCCACCCTAAGCCTCCATCAGGGACGGAGAGGGATGGGTCTGCACTGTCTGGAATAAGGTGGAGTGGGCTGTCTGGCCCACCTGTTCAGAGTCCTCGCTCGATCCCCTTCCCTAGCTAGGCAACCTCAGGGTCCCTGTGGGGCGATGAGAAAGCTCCTGGGGCTGGGCCACCTCCACGCAGCAGAACCTTTCTGCGATACGGCCTCGCACGCCAGCCGGACAGCTTAGGAGGGGACACAGCACACTTACCCGCCCCTCCCGCTCTCTCCGCCCCTCCAGGCCCAGGCTGCCAAGGCTCTGGCCTTCCTCCCGCCCCAAGTTCCGGCGCTGCTCCAGCCGGAGCTTTCCGCATTTCTCCGGGGCCATCCAAGAGACCCCCCCCCCAACCCCCAAGCCCTGCGTAAAAAGGCGCCCAGAACTTCTAAACTGCGGTGGGCGAGCGCCTGCGGATTTCCTCCAGCCGGGGACTGCGGAGGGCGGAGACGGAGGCTGAAGCAGTTTCAGGCCTCGGGCCTGGTCGGGCCAGGTGCGCGCAGACTTCTTTGGACCCCGCCGGCGATCCGTAGCTCGGGCGCGCGCCTGTCGCAGCCTGCAGGAAGGAGGGGTCCGGCCCGAGGCCCGGGGCGGCGGCCACCATGGAGATCCCCTCGGCCCAGGGCGGACGCCTGGGGCCTTGGGGGCGGCCCTGACTGTGCTCCTGCTCGGGCTGGATCGCGGACGAGCCCCGTGCGGCCCTCGTCCACTCCCGTGTCTCCGCCTTCCTCGGGCCGCGCTGCTGCCTGGGCACGGCGGCGGCGGCGCCCTGTTGAATGGGCCGGGAGGGCCCAGGTCTGAAGTGCTGGCGGACGCGGCCTCCGGGGGCGCAAGGCGGCAGCAGCGGTGGCGACCAAACGGGTGTTGGAGTTGGCGGCGGCCATGGAAGGCCTGGCTGGCTATGTGTACAAGGCGGCCAGTGAGGGCAAGGTGCTGACTCTGGCCGCCTTGCTGCTTAACCGGTCCGAAAGCGACATCCGCTACCTGCTTGGCTATGTCAGCCAGCAGGGAGGGCAGCGCTCCACGCCCCTCATCATCGCAGCCCGCAACGGGCACGCCAAGGTGGTGCGCTTGCTGTTAGAGCATTACCGAGTGCAGACCCAGCAGACTGGCACCGTCCGCTTCGACGGGTAGGTACATCCCGGCTCCAGCTTCCCACCAATCCATGGTTCCTCTCCCCCCTCCCTCTCCCTCCATGTGGGGACGCACGTGTCCTTTGGTACCCAGTGCAGACCCACCTATGCCCACTTCATTTGCCAAGGCGAGCGCTCCATTCCACGTTTTGCTGCCCATCCTTATCGGCCCCTGCCTCTAATTCCTTATCTGGCCGGGTTCACTAGATTGTCTGTGAACCAGCAGGATGGAAGGGCGGCTGCCTTCCCAGGGTTTAGCTTTATCTGTACTGGGTGTCGTAACCGAGACCAGAAATTAACGAGGTCAGCAGTTAAAATTGAAGATCTCTGTAGAGTTATTTGGACATCTAGTTCTCTCCCGTACAAGTGAGTTGGCTGGTGAATGTTCAGAAGATTACTGGGGCTTTTAGGGCTAAATAGGCCCCCAGAACCACCAGCAGCTGTAGCCTTTTGAGGGATTCTCACGAGGCCTCTCAAACCTCTCCACAGAGGATTGAGCCCTCCCACCTTGCTGGGTAGATATTTGGGCTGCGAAAGTGGCCCTGGATCTGGTGTAGAAGATGATGCCATTGTTAATTACATGTTACTCTGTAATGTTTGGAGGCTTGATCATGTACTATTTCTCAAGATGGGGGTTTCAGAAATTCATGTCACAAGTTAAAATCTGTCCTCTGAGTTAGTTGCACATATTTTTGGGTATGGTAATGAACACAGAATTGTCAGTTTTGACCTTATCCTCTTTTCTCCGCTGAAGGATTATGAAATGTCTTACAGATTACAGCTGATAAAAGGTTTTGCTTCCTTGATGGTATTTGTTTTTCTTGATTCCTGCCAATATGTAACTATTTTAGCATTTTTTTCTTTTGAAGTAGGTGGGGTCCAAACATAAGGATGTTTAGTTTTTGTGCTTTAAAACTGCCTGTTTAAAGCCTGATTGAAAAAGCATTTCTTTTTTTTAAAGATGTTACGGGCAATGTTAAATTTTGGTTGATATAATAAAAGCATTTTATTCTGGTTTAGATGAGTGGAAAATGTTGAGTGTTACATTTTTAATGAACTGTCAGCCTTGGGTGGTGGCTTATTTCTAGGACCACCTGTGTAGATATATGGCAGCTCAGTTTGTGTTTGCTTTCCCTTACTGGGTGGCTTCTGTGTCCTAACTTCCTGTATTCTCTCAGCCTGACCTGCACCTAGAAAAGGAGTGCTGCGAGTGACCCCTGAACCTCAGTACCTTTTCAGCTCTACAAGCACCTGTATCCACTGAGCTAAGAATGTCTGCAACAACAGCTGCGGGGAATTAAGGAGCTTGCTGAGGTTTTTGTGGATAAGGGAGAACAGTTGGAGAGGAAATAGTTTATTAAAGAATTTAGAATGGCTTTGCATATTGCTGTCTTCTTGGATCATCGGAGAAAGCTACTTTGAAGTGGTAAAATAACCTGACATGACTAGAGTTGAGGTTGTTTAGTGGTTTACCTTGTCCAGTATTTTGCACTGGCTAATGAAATGAAGGGATGCAGTGAGCAAATGTTTATTGAACAACTACTGTGTGCCAGATTCTGTGATAGGGATTGGTGTGCTGAGACGAATAACACATAGTGTTCCCACAGTGGAAGGTGATGGAGGAGAGAGAAGCAGACACATAAATGAGTAATTGCAGATGCTATGACATTTAAACTCCTGGAAATCTTATGAACTAGCGAGGGAGGACAGGAGGAGGGGGAATACTCAGCTTTTCATGAGAGAATCAGGGAAGGCTTCACAGAAGAGGTGACATTTGAGCTGAATTAAAATACGATATGAGAAAGAGGGACAGAAGCCTGGTACGCTTGCAATGACAAGCATTTCAGTGCTGTCAAAAGAAGAGATTCAAACTGGGGCAATTAAGAAAGAGATACTGGGAGACTGGAGAGGTGGAGATCAGATTGTGATGACCCTTGCATAAAATACCAAGAGTGAAATTGGTGAACTGCAATTTCACAATTTCCAACTTTGTGCCTTCTGGAATCTATATATAATCTGTCTAGTTTATGGATTGTTGTGATTATGAATGTATTAGCAGTTATGTTAAAAGTATTCAGTATTTATTTTATTTATTAAATGCCTATTGGAGGCCTAACCCCGTGTCACATTCTGTGAGTATACAGAGGAAATGTAAGGTTTCTACTTTTGAGGAGCTTACCACTTAATAAAAGAGAAGAATTGAAATTTGTGGGCACCTTGCTGCCTACTCACCCCAGAATGTGAGATTATTTTGTTATTTATCCCAGTCAGTTTGTTATTTTAGAACTGGAAAAACACTATTATTTGCAAATGTGATGGTTTCTCTTTGCCCTCATTGCAGACACTGACAACGTGGGCCTGAGCAGTATTAACAGTATGACGCTCACTCATCCCTTGGGGGCTGCTTTTTGTTTTGTGCTGCTGGGAATGGAACCCAGGGCCTCCAGCATTCGAGGCAAGTGCTCCCACTGACCCACCTCCCCAGCCTTGGAGTAGCCTCGAAGTACTTAGCTGGTCCCTCTTCTCCCTTAGATTCATTGGTGTTTGAGACCTGTGGGCAGATGGGAGTTGTCAGGTTGTCTTTGTGTGCTGAGGTAGATTAATATTTTAAATTTTTAGTTATCTGCATACCATCATTACAAGTTTTGGCCAAATTATTCACCATCTTGTTATTAATATTTTTATTTAAAATGTCTCTTATTTACTTGGTATTTGTCTTTAGAATGTCTTCGTAGCTTCATCTCATACAAGTGTATCTAATTATTTAATGTGTTATATTTTTTGTGTGTATGAGAGAGTACATCAAAATAGCCACTGTTTTAATATAATTTTGGGGGAGGGGTCCTCGGGATCAAACCCAGGGCCTCACACATACTGGACAAGCACTCTACCACTGAGCTACACCCCAACCCTTAAAATAATTTTTAAAGAAAAATCTGCTCCATCTAAAAACTTAGAGTACCTTAGGAAACTCAGTTCTATGTAGAGTCTCAAGAAAGAAACTATTGCCTAGATTAAGTCCCTTGTTGATAATTTTAGTCATTCACATTTTTTAGAAGCAATATTTGAGATTATTTTCCTATGGCTTAACACTTGCATACCAGAATTGACATAGGTAAGTGGACGAGAAGATCACATGAGGGCCGGCGATTTAGCTCAGTGGTTTCACTGCCTGCTATGCAAGTGCAAGGACCCGAGTTCGATCCCCGGTACCAAAAAAAAAGAAAAAAGAAAATCACATGAGTGAGAATGAAAGAACCTTTAGTTGGAGAATGGGCAGCTGGGCAGAGTGTTGTGGAAATGGCAGAGAACAAAGGGGAGGTGTCCCACAGCCCCGGAATGCTGAGCAGGTGTGGGTTGTGCAGAGGTTGCAGGGATTGCCTGTCCGACAGGACTGGTTCGAATGCCCAGGCTTCATTTCAGTCACTCTCAAGGGTGTTATTGGTGACTGTTCGTTTCAGTTTGCATTTCTCTGGTGAGGAATTATTTTGAACATTGTTGTATATTGGCCGTTTCAGTATTTTGTGAGGTATACTTGTCAGTCCTTTAACTCATTTCTTAAAAATAGGTTGCCTGATTATTTTTGATTTGTCACATATATCTATTGCAGGTATCTTCTCCCAGTGGGAGGATTGCTTACTCTGTTTTAGAATTCACTAATGTCTTTTGATAATTAGAAGTTCTAAATTTCACTGAAGTGTAATAAGTTATTGAGTCTTTTTCTTTTGTGATTAGTTTTTTATTGTTTTAAGAATATAGATTATTTAAAAACAGAATATAGATTATTTAGTTGCTTCAGGATTATTTATTAAAAAAGACTATACTCTATCTGAATTTCACTAGAGTTTTGTCATAAACCTAGTGACTCTATATATGAGTCTACTTCTGAAAGGTTTTTTTTGGGGGGGTTCTATTGATACATTGTTCTATCCTTGTACCAGTGCACTTGTCTTAATTATCTTGTCTCCAACATTATTTTTTCTTCAAGATTGTCTTGGTTGCATTTCCATATACTTTTTAGAATTGCGCTTTCACTTTTTATACCCATGTGCATGTGACCACACACACACACACACACACACACAACCTGGTGGGATTTTGATTTGAAATATATTGAATATATAGGTGATTTTTGTGGAGAATTTACCTGTGAACACTCTTGAGCTTCTTAAACCACAAACCCAGATTATGTCTCCATTTATTTAGGTTTTCTTCTATTTATCTTAGGACTGTTTTGTAATTTCTGGTGTTTAAGTCTTGCACATTTTGCATTGGTTTATTACTAGATATTGATACTTTTTCTGAGGCTGTTGCAAATAGCATTTTTTGGACCGTGAAATACTTATTGAACTTCATGTATAATCATGACAATAAAAATGTAATAAGTAAATTTTAATTAAACTGAACTGTTGCAAAAGCCTAGTTAGAAGTATTAAAACATACCACTGCTATAATGTGTTACTTTACTCGTGCTGGAGGATTGAACCCAGGGCCTTATACACTAGGTGAGCACTCTACCACTGAGCTATATCCCCAGCCCTAGTGATTCTTCATTAAAAAACAAAAACAAAAAAACTTAACAATTAAGTAGCACTTTTTTGGTGGTGTTGGGGGTTGAACTCAGGGCTTCGTGCACTGCCATATCCTTAGCCCAAATTTCATTAAAAAATTTTTAAAAGACACTTCAGAAAGCTTCTGTTTTTTTTTTTTCTGGAACCGAGGATTGAACTTGGGTCCTTGTGCTTGCAAGGCAGGCAGCGGAACCACTGAGCTCAATCCCCGGCCCAGCTTCTGGGTTTCTGAAGGTATGTTTTATGTACAATGAAATGTACAGACTGTAAGTGTTCAGTTTGATAAACATTTTTCCCTAATCTCCATCCACGCGACTGCCACCTAGATAAAGGAATTTCTAGTATCTTCAAGCCCTACCCCCCACTTTTTGCTACACTGGGATTGAACCCAGGTCCTTCTGTGAGTTACATCCCGAGCCCTCTTTTATATTTATCTCGAGACAGGATCTCACTAAGTTGCTGAGTTGCCCAGGCTGAGCCCGAACTTGCCATCCTCCTGTCTCAGCCTCTCAGAGTACTGGCATTACAGGCATGTGCCACCGTGCCTGGCTTCAACCTTCTTTTGAGGCAGTGTTACCCTCTCCCAGTTGGTTACTGAGAAGGTTTTTGCTTAGAAACATTGTGGCATTATTTGAAACTTAAGCAGTAATTGCCTGATTTGTTATAAAGTAGTTTATTTGTAGCAAAAGTGGTAATGGGTGGCTTTGTGGTGGTGTTAACTGGGATTGAACCATAATGTTTATATTTCTTAGTCCATTTTGTACTGCTGTAACAAAATAACCAAGGCTTGGGAATTTATAAAGAATGGCCCTTTATTTCTCCCTGTCTGGAGGCTGGAAGGTCCAGGATCAAGGTGCCAGCAGGTTCGCTTTCTGGAGAGGGCTGCTTCCTCCTGAGGGGAGGAGAGTTGTCTGCCTCTGTGAGGATGGAGGAGTCCCAGGGCCCAGGCACTTTCTAAGGTCCCTCCCCCTGATGCCATCACACTGGAAACATCTGGATGTGGGAGGCACCATCGGAGAACTGTACTCTTTTTGCTTCACAGGAGATAAAATTTGACCAAGTTACAGTGTAAGTCCATAGAGTGAGCAGCTCACTAGTGAGATTTTTGGCTGCTCTAGTGAGTGATGCTTTGACTTTTTCCCTTTAACATTTCTGCCTATACTTACTGGTTCTGGCACAGAATCTGAATGTTCAGCAAATGTCTGTGTTTTTGGTCTTAGAGTCAGTACAGTAGTAGGATTAAATTGGGAAAATGAGATGGGGAAAATTAGAAGTTGGAAAGTTGGAAAAGATTGATCTTCTAGCAAGAGACTGTTTTTGTGAGTTAAGTAGCAAACAGTATGTGCAAGATATTCAGTAGCCCATGATAAATTTTAAGCCACAAAACCCAGTCGTGTCAGGGAAGATACCCGTTTGGTTTTTCCAAAATACTAGATTTTTCCTGCTGTTGATATGTTTTCCCCATAGTGGTTTGCTTGAGGAATACACACAGATACACATGATATACAAATACACATGTGCACATACATTTTTTAAAAACTTTTAACTTGGGGTATAACATACTCAGAAAAATGCATTCATTATAAGTGCATAAGATTTAGTCATCTGGGTTTGATAAAGTTGCTGATTGAGTACCTCCTTAAAGGTAATGGTATCTTGACATCTAACACCTCAGCCTCCCCAGGGTAACTGGTACCTTTGTGCTAACTCCGCAAACAGGTAGGTAAATGCCATGTTATATGTGCTGGATTTCCTGGCTGCTTTTGCTCAGTGTTGTTTATGTGGTCAATCTGTAGTGTATGGAACAATAATTTTCATTCTCATTGCTGTAGTAGAGTAAGTATAATTTTGATTTGCTTAGGTAAAGCTGATCTGCTTCCTTGTTTTTTCTTAAAGCAGAATCTAACACAGTGTAAATGTAGAGACTGGAGTTACTTTCCGGATGGAGAGAAACTGCTATCTGGAGGCTACTGAGGAGGCTGAGGGCAGAATGGGCTGCAATTTCAGAGCAATGTCACCTTAGTAGCAAGGATGTTACAACCTTCTTATACTTCTGTGTTTTCTGAAATTTTACTGTTGCTACTAGAAAAGTGATTTTTTTAGTTTTTAGAAAATGTATACTTTAGAAATAACAGTGATAGTGATTCATTTATTATGCTCATAGTAAGTAGAAGTACTGTGCAGAGTGCTTTGCTGAAGCTGCCTGTTTTTATTTTCACTGAAACTGATGTTTTGTTAGTTTTCTGGAGAGTGAGGTCTCGGTCTATGCAGGTGAATACATCCTTACACTTATGTCGGGGTGCGTGGCCTCCAGTGTCTAACTGTGTCTTCTTTTCACGTGTAGGTATGTCATTGATGGTGCCACTGCTCTTTGGTGTGCTGCAGGAGCAGGACATTTTGAAGTTGTTAAACTTCTAGTCAGCCATGGAGCCAATGTGAACCATACCACAGTAACTAACTCCACCCCTCTGCGTGCAGCATGCTTTGACGGCAGACTGGACATTGTGAAATACTTGGTAGAGAATAATGCCAACATCAGCATTGCCAACAAGTATGACAACACCTGCCTAATGATTGCAGCGTATAAGGGACACACTGACGTGGTCAGATACCTTCTAGAACAGCGTGCTGATCCCAATGCAAAAGCACATTGTGGAGCCACGGCGTTGCACTTTGCAGCTGAGGCCGGGCACATAGATATTGTGAAAGAACTGATCAAATGGCGAGCGGCGATAGTAGTGAATGGTCATGGGATGACACCGTTGAAGGTGGCTGCCGAAAGCTGTAAAGCTGACGTTGTGGAACTGTTGCTCTCTCATGCTGACTGTGACCGAAGAAGTCGGATCGAAGCTTTGGAACTCTTGGGTGCCTCCTTTGCAAATGACCGCGAGAACTATGACATCATGAAGACATACCACTATTTATACTTAGCCATGTTGGAGCGGTTTCAAGATGGTGATAACATTCTTGAAAAAGAGGTTCTCCCACCAATCCATGCCTACGGGAATAGAACTGAATGTAGAAACCCTCAGGAACTGGAGTCCATTCGGCAGGACAGAGATGCTCTTCACATGGAAGGCCTTATAGTTCGGGAACGGATTTTAGGTGCTGACAACATTGATGTTTCCCATCCCATCATTTACAGGGGTGCTGTTTATGCGGATAACATGGAATTTGAGCAGTGTATCAAGTTGTGGCTTCATGCCCTTCACCTCAGGCAGAAAGGTAACAGGAATACCCACAAGGATCTTCTGCGATTTGCCCAAGTTTTCTCACAGATGATACATTTGAATGAAACTGTGAAGGCCCCAGACATAGAGTGTGTCTTGCGATGCAGTGTCTTGGAAATAGAACAGAGTATGAACAGGGTAAAAAATATCTCTGATGCTGATGTCCACAGTGCCATGGACAATTATGAATGTAATCTCTACACCTTTCTGTATTTAGTGTGCATTTCTACCAAAACACAGTGCAGCGAGGAAGATCAGTGCAAAATTAACAAGCAGATCTATAACCTGATCCACCTGGACCCCAGAACGCGTGAAGGTTTCACCTTGCTCCATCTAGCTGTCAACTCCAACACCCCCGTGGACGATTTCCACACCAATGACGTCTGCAGCTTCCCAAACGCACTGGTCACCAAGCTCCTGCTGGACTGTGGCGCAGAGGTGAACGCCGTGGACAATGAGGGCAACAGTGCCCTTCATATCATTGTCCAGTACAACAGGCCCATCAGTGATTTTTTGACCTTGCACTCTATCATCATCAGCCTGGTGGAAGCGGGCGCGCATACTGACATGACAAATAAGCAGAACAAGACTCCGCTGGACAAAAGTACAACTGGGGTATCGGAAATACTGCTTAAAACTCAAATGAAGATGAGTCTCAAGTGCCTGGCTGCCCGAGCAGTTCGGGCTAATGACATTAATTACCAAGACCAGATCCCCAGAACTCTTGAAGAGTTTGTTGGATTTCATTAAGTGACTGGCTATGTAAAATCGTTTATTGTGGTGCTAAAAAGTAAAGGACTTTAATCACAGACAATAGAATTATGTGTTCATAAATTGTGCTTTGCTTTCCACCCTCTTCCTTTCAACCCATCCTCCCTTTGTTCTGTCTTTGGTCTTCTTGCCTCTGAGTTAATTGACTTCAGACACACTTTAAACCAAGCCACATTGTTAAGGTGTAGCTGTAATCTAAGGCGTTTGGCTGTCGGTTTCTTACATGTCTTTTTTTTTTAAGAAACAAATATACAATACTTTGTTTATGTAATAAGGGATGTTTATGATTTCAAGTTCATAATGTTTTAAACAGCTGCCTACAACAGTATTTCTGTTAGGCCTGTGTCAGTTGTTTCCCATGCAGCAGTTTGAGGATTGCGTGAAGAAAAAGAACCAAAAAGGACTGCTGAAAGCAGTGGGAGGTCCAGGTGTTATGCACATGTACTGTAGTCTTCACTCTTCTGTCATGTATGTGGAGGGAGACAACGCATTCTAACAGCAGGAGGACTTAAGAAATATAGCTACACAATAACCAGACAAAAGTGCTAGTTTATTAATAGCTGCAAATTTAGAAAGTTAAATGCATTGCATTATGATGAGTAGTGTGTTCAAAGTGATAATCTCAAACCAGCCTTCTCAAGAGAATTTTGAGGGGCCCTGCCTTTAGGCTTGAATTTTTTGAAGTCTCTGTTCTAATGCACTTTGCCTAAGTTGCATCCAGCTGCATTTGATTCACCTCACAGACAGGTAGACATAAATGCTGTGTTTTCTTATGAAATAAGTTATCACAATATAGTCATGTATTCTCTTTCTGTGCCCTTCTCCATTTCTTCGTGTTAAATCTTTTAAAATTTGGATACTGCTTTTCCAGAGGGCATTGTGCTTCCCTAGTAAGGTGTTTATGACTGATGAAAAGGAGCCAGGTTATTTTAAAATTTTTTTCACTTTTTAGTCCATTATAAGAGGTAGAAAAATCACTAGTCTGGTATGTATACAAAATTTGAATGTTTTTGATGATGAAAACAATTTTCAATGCCACTTGAAAGGTATTTTGATGGAGCTGCAAAATTTTCTACCACAAAATGTCAGTTATTTTGACAGGCTATACAGAGGTCTTTATGCTTTCTTGTTTTAATAGTAGCATTTTAAACTATCAATCTAAAAGAGCATTCTGTGATTAAAGTGTGGAAGGAATTCAAGCAAAAGGTATTCACCTATTTCTATTGGTGTTAAAAATGATAACGAAAGTAAAGTTAACTGTCTCTTAATTTTCTCTCTAGTGCCAAATGAATGCCTTAGCCTACTCATAGTGCATGGTACTGTAAGTGAAGATCTTCAGCTTTTTTTCTTTAATGATAAGTGTTCTAATGATGTAGCAACATCAAGTATAAACTTTAAAACACAAGATTTCAATTACCATTTCATATACGGATATTGCTTTGTAAAATATAAGAGAAAGGTTGCAGTTGGATCAGTGTTAAAACAATGACCAAGCCGGGGCCAGGGATTTAGCTCAGTGGTTTCACCGCCTGGTGCGCAAGCTCAAGGACCTGAGTTTGATCCCCGGTACCCAAAACAAAACAAAAAACCAAAAAAACCGACCAAGCCAAAATCCACACCTAGGGCCTTAAATAGAGATAACCCCATGAGATGAAATGCTTTTTTGCAGGGTGGAAGGGGAGACTTTAAAAACTTCTTCCCCCAAGGATGTGTGATACAGTTGCTGTTTTTCTACTGTGTATCTTGGTTCAGCTAGGAATGTTTTGATGGTAAATCCTATCATGGTAATAGATTTCCATTTGCCCAACCTTAGATTTTAAGAGGAAGGTTTTCAGGATGGCCTAAAGGGAGATACTAAAATGAGCCCTGGGTAGGTGTGGTAGAACATGCATGTAATTCCAGCACCTGGGAGACTGAGGCAGGAGGATTGCTGTGAGTTTGAGGCCAGCCTGAATTACATAGTGAGACCTTGTCTCAAAAAAAATCCTTGGGCTGGGGATTTAGCTCAGTGGTTCTGGCGCCTGCCTTGCAAGCACAAGGTCCCGAGTTCAATCCCCGGGACCAAAAAAAATCCTTAATCTGGATATTATTGACCTTCCTTGATCTTCCTGGTGTGTATCAAGGAAATACTGTACCTTTTTCTCTGCATCTACGAGAAAATGCACTTCCTGAAGGTAAGTGAACCATGACTCGGAAAGCTCAGGTCAGACTCTTTATTTTCGTACTCTGAGGCCTGCATATTTGACAGTCTGAGGAATGGCTTGATACTTGGTATTCAGTTGGTTCCATTTTTAATGTATATGATTTTTAAACACTCAAATTATCAGGTGATGTTGCATGTTTCAATAATACATTTCATCCCCTTGGCTGCCAGGGCCAGCACTATTTTAGACATTACTCATTTATAAAATGAGGATAATTATATGTACATATTCAGACATCAGTTTAATAACCATTTAGGAGAAGGGAAGACTGAAAGCTGGAGAAAGTAAATCATGCTGATTGAAATACTGACAAAGTTGGAGGGAGTGTGAAGACAGCAGAATAAACTATGAACTGTGCTAATGGTAACGATTTAAAAAACTATAGTGTAGTAGTATATTGTGCACTATCTTGGTAAGGATTTAATTCTGTCTTGTATCAATCCAGATACCCATTATGAAAGATAAAGCCATTCTTGAAACAATTGATCTATATGCCTGTTTTTTACATTTTTTTGTCGGACTATTTTAAAATGTTAGCCAAATCCTTCATAAACGTAATTTTTTAAAAGGAAAATAAATAGGTAAGAAAGGCGAGATAGTTCTGTATCTCAGCTCACTGAGAACGCCAAGCTGTCTTCATTTTGTAGGCACTTTTACCTTTGCTGTTTATTACTGATAGAATTATGCTTTGAATTGTAACTCTTCCTTGATAGTGTTACAGATTTGCTCAAGACTTCTCTGTCCTGCTTGGGAATTGTCATGTAAATCTGGAGTAACTACAGGCTCACGTGGATGCTTTCATTTACAAATCCTGTGAGACTGGGTTTTCTGCTTTTAATGGAGTTGAAATTGAATTTGCATTTACATAAGTCCATAAGTCAAGGAGTGGGCAGCAGATCCATCCCTCAGTTGCCATAATTGAGGCAGCTACTCTGAATAAGACTACTTTAGACTATTCAGGAGGAGAATTTTTTTTTTATTTTTTTGGTACTGGGGATGGAACTTGGGACCTTGTGCTTTCGAGCCAGGCGGCACCACTGAGTTAAATCCCTGGCAAGCAGGAGAATTTCTATGTATTTTTTTTTGAAGTGGGCAGCATGAGGAGTGAGTTGGTGGACCTTGGGTTACAGTTTCTGGGTTTAGAAGCAGCCCAACTAGTGAGTAGACAGAAGTCAAGGCCTGGCTCTTAAGGTAGATTTTCTGTTCCTTTTCAGGCCAGACAGCTATGTGAGTCCACAGATGAATATTGTTTCTCACTGACCATACTGTAACATTAAAGGGGGTAAAGAACACAACACTCTGCCTTCTGCTCTATTAAAATATTTAGTCCACAAGATTTTAAGCTGTGTTCATTCCTACAGGTTTGTTCTGCAGGTCATCTCTTGAGAGCAGTACACGCCTCATTCTGTGTGTCACCACCTTGCAGGGCTTTGGGAGACACTTGTAGGCTCACCCAAACCTTCAGATGGCCTGGGTTGTACCATGTCCCCTCCCCCAAATATAGAACTGGAAACAAATACTGCCCTGATAATGGTGATATGTTCATTTTTTACACTGTAAAGAAATGTGGTCTGGTCCTAGGTTTGTGGAGTGTACCTTTGTGTTACTGTACAGGGAAAGGACAGTGACTTGATGGTTATGGGGCATATCTTTATGTGTGTGCAGGGGTGAATGTTGCTAAATTACTAACAGCTCCTCTAGGGGTGAGTCGTGTGACACATGACCTAATCAGAACAATGAAGGAGCGAAGATGCAAGATTGCCAAGTGGTGCAGTGAACAGGTTTTTGTATCTACTATTCTTTATCAGGTTGTAAAATTTGTGCATGGCCTTTTTGTGGTTGCTTAGTAATTGGTAGAGGAGAAGAGATGAGGGTAAAAGCCTCAGCTTTCCTAACCAGTCTTTTCAGAGGTACGTGGTGGGGGAATAGAACCTGACTGGCCGAACCCCTTGCAAAGATCCTGCCCTTTATAATACTCACCCCGTTCTGCAGACCTCATGTAGAGGGGCTACATTTTTGTATTCTAGTAATTCACTGTGATCTATAACAAGCCAGTGATGTCATTCTATTGTGCACTTTTGTCAAACCGTTTATGTGACTTTAATAAACATAGTAAAGTTGCTGATTACACCAGAGGTCTCTTAGTGATTTATATATTGCATGGCATTTTCTATTTGAGTTTGACATGTAGGATCATTTTTAATTTCATGGCAATTGACAGTCCTAATAGCTAATTTGAAACTAACGATCTTACTGTGTAAAAGGAAAAATGGTGTTTGTGTTCAGTAAATGTTTGAAGAAAGAAAACCTACTTGGAAGTTTGTGTCTTTTTTGTTCAATGGGAGATAATCTTTTGTTGAGTTCATTTTTTAAAAAGTGGCTGAAGTTATACCTGTGTTTGGAAAAAATTCAGACTTTACATCCGAGCAGTAAAAAGAGAAGTTCTTTTCCCATTTCTGTCCACTTTCCACTTGGATCTGCTGAGGCAACCATTATTAACACTTTTTTAAGTAGCTTCACAGAATTTTTCTGTGTGTATATGTATTTGTCTGGAAATGAATTTTATCCTTTTATCAAGTATTATCATATACAGTATATAGGTTTCTTATTTTTGTTTTAATTTAAATTAATTATTTTTTGTGTGTGGGGATTGAACCCAGTACCTATACATGCTAGGCAAGTACTCTACCAATGAGCTACATTGCTGGCCCTGTATAGATTTTTAAAAAAATAATTGTATAGCATTTAATTCTATAATGGAATTAAAAATTTTTAACTGGATTGCACTGATAGATATTTGAATTTTCAGGGTTTTGTTTTGTTTGTTTTGGTGTTAGGGATTGAACCCCAGCCTTCACACTGAGCTGCATCATTTTAAATTTTGAGTCAGGGTCTGGATGGGTTGCCCGGGTTGGGTTTGGCCTGCTGCCTCAGCCTCCTTGGGGTCTGGGATTACAGGCCCATGCCAGCACATCTGGCTGAGTTTTCCATTTCTGCTATTCCAGGTAACCCTGTAGTGTGCATCCTCATGTAGAATAGTCATTCAACAAATTCATTCCTAGCACTGGAAGTTTTGGTTAAGGACTGTATTCAAAGTCTTGACAGCAATTATCAAATTGCTTTTCATCTCCCTGTTCCTTTCTTGACATATAATTACCTCATTATTTAGTTTTTGCCATGGTGATTAATGGAAAACTAGCAGTTTGTAATTTTGGTTGTGTTCCTTTGTTAGGAATAAGGTTGAATGCTTTCATATATTTATTGACAATTTGTATTTCTGTTGTTTGCATTTGACTTGTGGTCTTTTTCTTACTATAAGAAATCCTGTGGAAGTTTAAGGAAACAGTTTGGTTTGGTTTTTACTTCAAATATGGTAATTTTTTGTCAGATGGATTATCTATCTTCCGACCTACCTACCGGCCGACCTACCTATCTATCTGTGGATGGAACCCAGGGTTTGACCTGATCTACATCCCCAGCCTATCTTTTTACTTTTTATTTTGAGACAGGTGCTTTCAAAGGTGCCCAGGCTGGCCTTGAATTTGTAATACTTCTGCCTCAGCCACCCGAGTAGCTGAGATTACAGAAGAAATTTAACATTGTTATGTAGTCAATTTTATAACTTTTACATGGATTTTGAGTTTTGTATCCTGTTTGTCAGGCTGTCTTTATTCCAAGATAATAACATCTTTTTTTACCTCTATTTTCTCTGAAATGAAGCTTTCATGGCTTCTCTTACCCCTTTCCTTCTCTTCAATTTTTGACCAAGCAGGAATTTACTTTGATGAAGATATTCAGCTAGTCAGGGACCTCTTAATTATTTCCTATTGATTTGAATTATAAATGAAATCCTCTAATGCAGTTGGATCTTTTTCTGGATTCCCTAGTTTGTTGATCTGGAAGTGTGGAGCTCTGAGGAATATTGTTTGATATCGAGTTCTGGTTCTGCCACTTTGTAGCTCTGTGACTTTGGGCAGGTTACTTCTCAAAGCCTCAGTTTCTGTAAATTCAGACAATAATACTATGTTACTTGGACTGTGAGGAGCAGATGAGATAATTAAAATGCCTAACATGGTGCCTGGCATACATCGAAGTGCCTGGTAAATGTTAAATTTCTCTGTTGGGCTCGTATTTCTTCATTTATCCTTTTTTTTGGGAGAGAGAAGGTAATCTTTTTCATTATTGTATATATATATTTTTCCCAATGAACTCTGTTGTCATTATGTTAAGAGATTATTTTGTTCAGTATTAAATCAGTACATTACCTTAGGGAGACTTGGCATCTCTACAGTTCTGAGGCTTTTTATCCAAAAGAAAGCTATCTCCATTTAGTTGTCTTTTATTTCTCTGTTCAGAGATTTTAAAGTTTTTTAAATTTTTTAAATTAATTTTTGTGATGCTGGGTATTGAACACAGGGCCTTTGTACAGAGCTACATCCTTAACCTTTTTAAAATTTTTTTATTTTGAGACAGGGTCCCTCTAAGTCACTACATTTGCCCAGGCTGGGTCTGAACTTGTGATCCTCCTTCCTCCGCTTTCCAGAGTGCTGGAATTATAGGTGTGTGCCGCCATACCTGGCTGTGAGGTATTTTCCATAATTACTTGTATTTTGCATTTATCATAATTGTTTGTTTTATGCTTGCACATTTTAGATGTTTTTACAAAGCACATTAATGGATTTCCCTTTAAAAACTTTTTTTTAAGTTGCTTCTTCTGCATGTCCCTAGGTAACACCATCATTTGCTGGTAATAATGTTGTCTTCTTATTTCTCTTCATTCAGAGCTCCTATTTCTTATACCTAATCCCAGTGGTTAAAATTGCCAGGAGAGTGTGAAGATGCTGGGTGCTATTGGAGCCCATGCTTGGCACATGTTTGTTTCCAGATTCAGATACGGGATGGCCATTCCATATAAAGATCCACAAGAGTGTAGAGTGTAACCCTGTCCTGTTGCAGCTGAGCATGCCGGTGTAGCCAGAAGTGCTCACATGTGTGCCTCCAAGGTCACACAAAGACTAAATGTCAGGGCTGCGCGTGGGCCCTGGTCTCTGACTCACGGCGATTGTCATCACCGTGACTGGTCTCTGATGGGATACTACTGTCCTGCAGAGACATCCAGACAGGCTTCAGTGCATGCATTTCCTGCATTTCAAGCAGTGTCTGTTGTATTAAAGTAACCTGATCAGGCTATTGACAGTTGAATACAGTACTTGACCTAGGTAATGTCACTGTGAGAGATACAAATTTCAGTGGTTCATAAGATCTTACTTGCAGGCAAGTTTAGACCAATTACATTTTTCAAATTTGCCTGTGCTTTTAAAGTTTTTGTGTTCATTTCTTTGGAGAGGGACTTGTTTCAACTAGTGGGAACAACTGGAAAGTCAGTGCTATTCGAGCGCCTCCTGTGTGCCAGGCCCTGTGCTAGGGATGGTCCCTGCCCTTGATAGCCTCATCGCCAGCTAGTTCACCGCCTTTTCCAAAATACTGTTTTCTGCTTTTCCTCAGATTTTAGTTTCCCTAATAAAAATGTGTAATTTAAATCAATTCTGGTTCAGGGTGCCTTCTGAAAATTGTAGAAAACATCATTGACTTGCTGCATGTTTTCTGTTGTTTCATATGCAGTATCAGAGAGACCTGAACAAAGGACACGCACACCTGATTAGGAAGGATGACCGCGTCATGGTGTGGAGTCCCATCTTTTATAACATAACCGTCTGCTCACCACCCTCCTGGAGCCCAGCGAGTGTGCCAGGCACCGCCTCGCCTGTGTCTTGCTGAAGTTTCAGAGCTGAGGTACGAGGCTCTCGCCCTCTGTCTGCAGCTCCTGTGCTGCTCTTTGAGGTCCGCGTGGGAGCTGCTGCCCCACTTCAGCCTTACATCAGAGCCACATCGTGCTACAAAAGCACGCTGCGGATTTTATGGTGGATGGCTGGGCTTGACTGCCCTTTGAGAAGAGCCTGGTGCTGTGCATACTAAGGGAAAGGTGATTTGGGGATTGTTTTTAATGGTAAGCAGTGCAGAAGAAAGAGCTGAAGGAGAGAGCACAGGCTGCGTGCTGAGTGAAATGCCTTCCTACTGCTGGCTGTACTCAGGCGCCAGAGGCACATCCTGACGTGGAGAGACCTGGCCACTCCCCGCTGGGGGCCATCGGTGTTCATGCCCAGAAACGTTCTCTTCCTGTTACAGGCTGCCTGGCATCCCTGGCTTGAGCCCAGGGGAGACTCAAGTCAAAAGTCACTCTGGGAGAGAACTGGGGCTGGAAGCTCTCGTGGGCTGAGGGAGGCCGCTCCAGGGGAGTCATCTACACCGTCTCCAGCAGCTCTCATGGCCTGGTCATGGCTCCTCCGGACCACTCTGCTGTGTTCCTCCTACCACTCTGCCCCTGCCACATGGCTACCTGGCTTGTTAGGTACCACCTTCCTTGAAAAAGGAAAGCTCACTAACTCTACTGTGTGCACTGGAAGGATATGGCTTGGGAGCTTCAGCTGGTTATGCACAGCAGAAGGGCAGCTGAGATAGGAGAAATGGCCGTGAAGACCAAGAGTAGCAGATTGCTACAGCCTGAACTTCTCTCTAGGCCTGGGTCTGTGAGCTCTGTGCTGGAACTCGGAGCCGGTGGTTCTGCTTGAGGCGGCGCTAGGACTGCACTTGGAGAGCTCAGCTCTGGATCACTCTCTCTGGGGCACAGTTTTCCCTGAAGCCTGTGAGCCCACATCGTCTAAGGCCACAAAGAAGAAACGTGGCTGCATTTGTCCTTTGCAGCGCCTAGTTGGCCCGAACTGAGGGCCACCCTACCTAGGCCTGCTTCCTGCACGACACTGCACCATGGTACCCTGGGATCTTGTATCTTCTCCGAGGACTGCGCCCATCCATAGCCGTCCCTCCCTGAGCCCCCGAGTCAGCCTCAAGACCACCCAGGACATCGTGCCCATCTCCTTCCACAGCAACTGCTTGGAGGCCTCTCTTCACTGTACAGCCAGCCCAGGACTTAGAAATCTTGACTGTGGAACCAGAGACTGACCCCCCTCTGTGGTTGATTTGGTTTACAACTGAGACTTGATGGCACGCTCCTGCTGTATGCTGGAGTTTGCTGTGGATGGTCTTCCCTGTCCTGTGGCCATGGGAGCTCAGAGCAGCAGCCTGCTTAGAGTGGTGTCCAGGTTGGGCTCACAGTCTCTCAAAGACTGAACCATTTTTAAGTTGGTTATATTTCCTGTTAACACAGGGTTTAGCCCTCAGTTCCATCTAAATAATTATTAACTAGCAGATGATTACCCTTGATAACATCTGTGAGTCATCATATGGATTTTAATGTTGATTCAAGGTGGAACTTTGGGCTGCTTGCCTTGAGACAGCAAAATTGTCTTCCAAGACTGTTTTCCCTCCCTCCTTGTCTACTGTGAGAGCAGCAGCCACCTCCCCTGGCTCTGAGGACCCTGGGAACTGGATTCTGCAGCCTACCTTGCCTGGAGCCCTGCTGTAATGGAGGGTCCTCCCAACTAGCTCAGAGCTAGACTGACCCCGGGGCAGCAGTGACAGTCTTCATCATGTTAATCCCTCAGTCTTCCTTTTCTGTGCAGCTGCAGTTGAGCTCAACTCTCAGCACAAGTTACCCAGGGAAGTTTGAAGTCGAGCAAGTGATGCCCTGGCCCCTCTGCCAGCCAACCTAGCCAATCCTGAGGACTGGAGCCTTTGGTCCTGCCTTTTAAAGCCCCTAAATGCTGCTAATATCCAGCCAGGATGGTAAGAGAGTGCTTTGCTCCCTCTGTGATGCCTCTTCTGTGTCTTCCCTGGCAGGCCACTGAAGGCCAGTCCTGTACATTTCTATTTCAGAGTAAAAAGTTCAGACAGGAAGACTTGATAAGAGAGTGGAGAGAAAGGAGGACACAAGACAAGGGCCAAAGACTTGGAAAGCACAAGCCTCCCACCCCTCCACCTTCTGACCATTTAGTTGGTCTTGGTGTTGGCCTGGGGTGGGTGTGGAGGGACTGGAGCCCCCAGGCTGCACTCTGGCCTACAGGTATGTTCTGTTTGGCCTGCTCTGGACACACAGGGCAGTTTTTTTTTTTTAAAGTGAAGACCAGTTTCTACAGATGCAGTTTTCCCTAAGCGTGTTCTCCGAGATCTGGAGGTATAGGAAAGAAGGCACGTCAAAGTGTGGGTTCATTTGGTTTTTTGGGCTAGGTTACCCCATTCTTGAAAGTGATGACTGATACGGAATATCACACAATTTTTCCTTAGGGTTCTAACTAAGGTCTTGATCTAACAGGGTTTGCTATTCATGTTTCAGTTCCCTCACTTTCAACTTCCACTCCTTGTTTGGCTGGAGTGAAAGTGCGCTGAGGAGACAGCACCCCTGGGCTCTGTTTTGATTTTCCTGTGCAACCAACCCAGGGCCATCTCTTCTCTTTGGTTCTGAATGTCCCTAGCTCTGGGGAAATAAGATCAAATAATTCTAAGGTTGTATATGCTGAGGTTCCAAAGGGTGAATGGCTCTAGAACAGTGTGGGGACAGCAGGCGTAGGAGCCGCTGGTGTGGAAAACAGGAACTCGGTGTAGGAGGGTCAGCACGGAGGCCCCATCTGGGGGGAACCCTGGCACATTTGGGTTCTCACCGTCTGTGCTGGCCAGAGACGGAGCGGGTGCCCCTTGGGGGAGCATGCAGTGGCCAAATCCATTCCCAACATCAGGTAGAATGGGAAGGAAGGAGCCCTCCTCCCCACCCGCCCTCGGCTTCAGAGTTCGGCTGAAGAACAGGATGGCAGTGCCTTGGTGGTTTGTAAACAATTTTTTAGAAAAATTTACGACAGTCAAAGTCGTATGCACAGGAGAACAGATGCCTCTGACGAATTCCTCTTTCATTTCTACTTCAAAGATTAAGGCATATATTACTCCACTAGGCACCTGCATGCTCCTTGTCCTCAGGATGCCTTTGAGGCCTAGGTCCTGTGTCCTGTGGGCAGGCGGATGAGATTGTCGCCACCCAGGCTGCATAGGCGCAGGGTCCTTGACAGGCAGGCGTGGTTCAGTGCATTCCAGAGAGGGCCCCTCCGCAGCCCGCTGAGCTCCCTGCCTGGTGGGGCGGTGTGTGTGTACACAGAGGACGATGCTGGGAGGGGGCTCCCTGCCCTCACCTCTGCCATGGTACAGCCAGGCCAGCAAGTCGTTGCGGGCAGGGCGGGGCAGGCTGCAGGAGACAGGAGGGACTGTGGTGGGGCCCAGGGGATCCAGTCACCCACAGTGAGGTACCTAGGAACAGAAGCAGCTGGGAGGGACAGCAGGCAGTGGAGTGGGCACTGCAGAGTCAGAGTGATATGTCCTGGGTGTCACCTGTCCGTGTGATAGCTCTACTTCCCACAGTTGCTCTCCATCCTGGCCTGCAGCTGGGCCAGTCAAGCCTCAAGTGGGGGCTGACTGGCAGGGAGCATCAGGCCTGTCTGTAGGGAAAGGCTGGTTGTGACCTGGGCCACCCACCAGGGTGTCCAGATGGAGGTGCAGGGCGGTTTGTATTTACACTCTTCCTCTGGGCTCCTCCAGAGGTGGGCCTGATTGGAGACTGCTGGTACTGTGGTGTCTGGGCCCACAGCGCCCTCCTGAGAGCCTCCAGCAGGGCAGCTCCTCAGCACCTGCTTCAGTTCTTTCCCAGAGGGAGCAGGCGCCATGCTCAAGAGTCGAGGTCAAGTGCAAAGCCAGCGGCATCCTCTCTGCTCCAGCTCGGTGGGGCCGTGGGCCTGGGCCTGCACCCACCTGGGCCAAGGTGGCCCCATCAACTCCAAGCCTTGTCCGGGGCCTCACTCTAGTGCTTTGGGGCTGGGGTCTGTGCCAGGCTCCCTCTTGCGCTTGGCACTTTTAAAGAAGCCCAGCTGTAGGAGGCAGGGGGGAGTCTCAGGGGTGTGTGGGGTGGACAGGCCAGCCCTCTTCAGGCCACCTCCCCAGGAGTGTCCCTGAACACCCCTTTGACTCCTCCCCGGGGCATGTCTCAGACAGATCAGGGCTCCCAACCTCGGGCCAGAGACAGGGAAGGACTGTGGTGGGTTAACTGCCTGACCTGGTTGGAATTTTGGGCAGATGGAAATGAAAGGAGAGGCAAGAGAAGATAAGTGAAGAGAAGAGGGAGGCAATGGAAGAGAAGGGAAGAGAAAGGAAGGGAGGGCAAGGCAAGTAATAGAAAGGGAAAGGAGGAAAGGGGAATGGAGGGGAAGGGCAGAGGAAGAAGCGACGGAGAGGAGCAGGAGTAGGAAAAGGGGAAGGCAATGGCAAGTCCTACTTCCGGTTCTCTGAGGCCTGGGTCTCGGTCTGGGTGCCCTCACCCATCTGCCTCTTCAGTGAGGCCCAGGTGGGCGCTGGCTGCACAGGAGAGGAGGGGAGGGGAGGGGAGAGTGTGCTGTCCCCACAGGCCTCACCTTCCACAGCGCCAGTACCAGCAGGGCGAGTAGCAGGAGGCCCCCCAGCGTGCTGCCCAGGATGATCCAGATGGGGACCTGCGAGTCTTCCTGCTTGGAGATGTCAAAGGTGACCTGCAGGGGCGGGGCCGGGGTGGCAGTGTGCTCTCCTGGGCTGCACTGTGCACCTGCTGGGAGCTCGCCCTTTCCTCAGGGAGGTGCCTGGCCCAGTGCCACCCGAGCCAGCTGAGCAGGGCTGGAGCTTCTGCAAGGCCAGCCACCATCTGCCTCAGCCCAGCCCCAGTTTTCAGCCCCCACTCCATGTATGGCTACTCTCTTCCTTGCTGCTTCCTCCCCAGCTCCCAAATGTCCCAGTGTTGGTTTGTCACATGCTGTCCCCAGCCGCCTCCTGCCCTGGGGACTCTGGCCTCACCTATCGGGATGGGAGGCATGGCACCTGGGGCCTGCAGGACTTTCAGGGGCCCAGGAAACTTCGTTGCTTTTAAGATTAGAAGAAATAACGAAGATAATCCAGCCTGCCTTATACAGTGGACCCTGGATTTATGAACTCAATTTGTTCTCCAGGGCTGGTTGTAACTCAGTTGGTCACTTGGAGGCTTAGGCTCCTCTACACAGCCCTCAAAGTCTCTGTCCTGTATACAGGCAGACCTCAGTGTCCTTAGGGAGACACTGGCCTAGGATTTCTCAATTAACCGCACATAGGCAAGGATGTTGTAGTGTTCCTTCCAGAACTCTTTAAGGGTTAAATCAGTATCGGAGACCATCTGGAAGTACAAGCGGCTGGCATTTGGATTGTAACTCAAGACTTTGTAAGTTAAAACTAAAATGCCAGTCATAACCCAAGTTGTTCATATGTCAGGCTGGTTGTAGCTTGAGGGTCCACTGTATTCCTTCCTGTTTATACCATCACAGTTGCAAAATAAAATCTTTAGTGCTTTTTCCAAATGGAGGAAGGGGCAGAAGAGACTGGGGCCATGGAAGTCACAAGCCACCTCGGTAAGCTCACCCCGTCCCGTGGCTCTAACTGTGCCCATACCACACTCACATGTATCTCTGCTGAGTCCCTGAACCATGCAGTGTCTGCCTGGCCTACTTGCACCCTCCCCAGGCCCTGGGCCACCCTGTGCCCCCACGTCTTCCTCCTCCCTCGCTCTTGCTCAGGCCCCTCACTGTTGCACCAGACGGGACCCATCAGCCCAGCCCCCAGGACACCTGGCCACCTTCGGCTCTGAGCCCCCTCATGGCTCCCTGCCCTACCTGGCCACGCTTCCTGAGCAGCAGCCCTGGGGATGCTTGCAGAGTCCCCAGTCTTCCCATCACCCTCAGTGACACAGGGAACCATGGCCTGCCTGTGCAGCCCCACCCACCTGTTCCTGCTCCCCCCGATGTGCTGGCTTCCCCATGGCCTCTGTCTAGTGTCATTTTAGGGAAAGATTCCCCCACGTCCCTTATGATATAGGCACTGACTCCCCTCCTGCATGTTTTGGGGAGCCTCTCTCCCCTCACATTATGTCTGGGCTCACAGATGATCCTGTGTCCACCAGGTCAGTTCTCTCTCCTCCTTTCCCCTCTCCCTCCTTCCCTCTCCCTCCCCTGCTTTCTCAGGCCTACAACAAAGCTCAGCAAACCCAAAGGCTGACTGATCCTGGCCATGCCCAGCCACTGATTCCCTCTCCTGTTCTGGGTAGGTCACCCAGCGTTAATATCCACGCAGGGACCTCACAGGATGACACATGGTGTCTGCTACCTGCCCTGTGCTCAGCATGGGCAGCTCCTGCCTGTGTCCCTTTGTGTCCCTGCAGGCTGGGACCTTGCTGTGCCTGCCCTGCTTCTGTGCACCTCACACAGCCCAGGGCAACAGGTTCATCTGGGGGTTGCTCTTCACAAGAGAAGTGAGGCGCCCAGAGAGCATGAGATGGGCAGGGCTGGAAGGAGACAGCACCTAACAGAACCCCCTGATGTGGGGAGAAGATGGTCCAGGGGGGTGTATCTCAGTAGCCCCTCTGCTGGGCGAACGCTGCCCTGCCTGGAGTCCACACTGCTTGGTGCTGTCCTCCACGGGCTTCCTGTTTCTGTGCTACGGCCACTGGAGGGCAGCAGAGTCCCACATCCACCCTTACCGCAGAGGCTGCAAAGCTCTGCCAAATCCAGATCGCAGCCAGGACAGAAAGCTGGGCCTGTTCTTGCCCTTCCTCTGCCTGCCCACTCTGTCCCATGAGGGCTCAAGGGGTGGGGTCTTGGGGCTCACCTGGCGGCTGGGGTCCACCTCGCGGAAGATGAAGGGGCTGTGGAACTGCCTCTGCAGGGCCGCGTTCACCATGATCTTCAGGGACCTGAACTTGAGCTGTAGGAGCAAGGCCTGGTGAGAAGCTGGCTCCCAGGAGAGGCGACCCACAGCCACCTTCCCTGCCTGACTTTGGTCCACCCACCCGGGCTCCACTTACTGCCTTTAGGGACTTCAGCCACAGGTTCCCCAGCAGGTGGAAGTTGACCTCCTGGTTGGGGGCCAGATGCACATTGCAGTTGATGGAGACCACGTCAGAGTTGCTGTGGTTCTGAGAGGGAAGAAGGGCTGGGGTGAGTAGAGGACACAGCCCGGGGGCTGTGACCTGGAGTGGCCCAGTGCATTGCCTGAGCAACTGGGGCTGTGCTCTGGAGAGGGAGGTGGGGCAGGTGACAGGAGATCAGGGTGGAGGAGCCTCGCTAATGCTCCTTGACCTTGTGCACAGTGACCAGAATGGGTGAATTCCAGGGACAGAAGTTTGGTTTATCATTAAGAAATCTATAAACATCATTACCATATGAACAGATCAAAAGGAAACATGAACTGGTGTGGTGGGGCACACCTGTAAGCCCAACATTCGGGAGGCTGAGGCAGGAGGATGGCTGCAGTTTCTCAGCCTGGGCTACATAGTGAGTTCAAGACCAGCCTGAATCGCATGACAAGACCCTGTCTCAAAAAATTAAAATTTTTTTTAAAAAGGAAAAATGATATGATCACTGCAACAGATGTAGTAAAAGTATTTTAGGAAATTCAGCTTCTGTTCATGATGTTCAGCTGGGGAACTTCCTGCATCTGATTAAAGTGAGTGTGGCTGTATCTGACAGCAAGTATCATGCTCCCTTAAAATCAAGACCAAGGCAGTTCTGACTGTCCTGTCATTACTTCTATTTCTGTGGCCTGGGAGGCCCCAGCCAGAGCAATGTGGCAGGAGACGCAATTGATAAGGACTGAATGGAAAATTGATAGAAAACCCAAACAAACCTTTCCCCGTGGTCAGGATTTCCAAAGGTCAAGCTGTTGGTATGGCTGGCTTGCTGCCCTACCCCAAAATGCAGTGCACTGAAAAAGTACTCTGTGGGAGGCCCTGGCTTGGGGAGAATAAAGCAGCTAGGAGGCTAGCCTGGGTGAGGAGTCGAGGGCACAGGGTGAGAAACTGGGACCTGGGGCCTCAGGCTACCCGGCAGGGAGACTGGGAGCCTGCACATGCCTGGGCGGGGTCTCAGGCTGGAGGTGGGGTCCGGCTCTGCCCACTCTGCCCCTTCTCTGCTTTCTGGTCCTGCTGACCCTGTCAGCCAGGCGCACACTGTGTCTGTCTGCCCTTTCCTGTGAGAGGTGATTCCCCTTTCTTTTTCCTTCATCCAGGGCTGGGCACTCGGAGGTGTGAGGAAGTGCTCTCGCACACTTTCTTTCTCTGTGTCTTTAAAATGGGCTCCCTGTGTTGCCCAGGCTGGCCTGGAAATCAGTGGCCTGCAGCAATACTCCTGCCTCAGCCTCCTGCGTAGCTGGGACTACAGGTATGTCACTGCACCCAGATCAGTAAATTGTTTTCGACAAACTCTTGGCTGGGAGAGAAATGGGCCCCTGGAGCAGGCGGCATCCCTCTCACCCTGTCCTTCAGCTCTCGGTTGGGGACACTCACCAGCTGCAGGGCCTGACTCAAGTCCTCATCCGTGGGGGTGAGCCGGTACTCGGTGGTGTTCCCCCAGACATTACAGGACATGTTCGCCTGCATGGGGGACACAGACTGTGGGACTCGGCTCCCTACCTCTGCCCTGGCCCCGGAGGAGGGAGCTGGAGTCTGGGGACCCAGGAACCCCGCCCCTGTGCCGGCTTCAGGGGCCTGGTACCTGGTCGGTGAGGAAGTCCCTCAGCACTAGCAGGCGGTTGCCACCCCTGGTGGCCACGGGAATGGTGATCTTCACCGTCACTCCGTGGATGGGGAAGAAGCCCAGGTTCTGGATCTGCAGCCGAAGGGGGGTTGGTGTGTTTAGGGAAGCCGAGGGACGGGAGAATGGACCATGGTGGCCCCTCCGCCCGGCATCCTCACAGCAGAGGCTGCAAAGCTCTGCCAAATCCAGGTCCCAGCCAGGCTGCGTGGACATCAGTGCTTGGGACTCTGGGCGGGGAGGGTGGGCTCCCGGGGCCCGTCACTCAGCGCCCTGGGCGAGGGGGTGCTGGCTGAGGCTGAGATGGGCGCTGTGGTGGGACAGAGGCGGGATGATGCCCCCAGGTGCACTACATGGTGACCCTTGGAGCACGGCAGGGCATGGGTTCCACTGAGTGATTTGCGTACATTAAGCCATCCCTGCTCTTCTGGGATGAAGCCTTGTCACTTTAATGATTTGCTGCATTTTCTTTGCCAGTATCTTTCTGAGGATTTTTGCATCTGTGTTCATTAAAGAGATTGGCCTGTCATTCGTTCTCTCTTTTGGGCGGGTCCTTGTGATCCGAATCCATCATGAGAAGAAAAATATCTTTTGGAACCAAGCCCCGGCCAGTGGGATTATAAGACTTGAGGAGCCCAGAAAGTCACTAAACACCTGCTGCTCTTTCCTTCCTTGGACAACTGCTCCCCCCTCAGCCCAAGCCCAGAGTCAGCTAGAGCCCCTCTTGCCCCTTCCCTGCTGCCCCACTAAAGCTTTGCCTGTCTAGGAGCCTGTGTGCTTGCAATATGTGGTCCAGTCTCATTTCTACCTCCTCTGGGTCAAAAGAGCCCATTGTGTCCTATCAAGGCCAGGCGTGGAGACGGTGACCGCCATTGATGTGGTGACAGCCACTCTTTGGTGAGTGTTGGGAGTTCCTGCTCCCTGGGCTGGTGACGTGGAGAGCTGTTTGGCCTCTCTTGGACAGGGCGTGTAGGGCTCAGGTGTCTGCAGCCCCGCTCCCATATAGCCGTGGGATGGATAAACACAGGCCAGGCTGAGGGCGGTCTCCGCACTGAGAGAGCTAAGTTTCCCTTCTGCCTAGGAGTAGAACCAAGACAAAAAGAGCCCACCCACTTCCCAGCTCCCCTTACGGCTGAAGCACAAGGCTTTGGACAATGAGAGGTAACTGGAAGTGTGAGGGATTGCCAGGGAGTAGGGAGAGGGCCTGCTGCCTGGAATCAGATTGTGATGGCTGGAGCTGTAGCCACCTTGGAGTATGAAGTGAACTTGAGGCTGAGGACAGTGAAACAAAAGACCTCCTCCTGGATGACTTTGGGAAACTGTCAACCCTGGACTTCTTTAATGGGTGAGTGTAAAGCCTGGTGTTTAAATCATTGTTTTTTACTATTTAAAAATTTTTAGGCAGGCATCCCTAATCTCTGATACACACCTCCTCAGTCCTGCCTGCTTGTTTTTGACAACCAAGACCGGGAAAGGGTAAGAAACTTGCCAAAAATCACTCAGTGAACACATGGCAAGGTTGAGGTCAGACTCCAGCCGCAGGGGCTGATTTCCGAGTCCTCCCCTCCCTGTGGGGTCCTCGGTCCTAGCCTCTGCCTGGCTGCCCCTGAGCCATACCTTGAAGACGCAGCTGAAGGGAGGCCCGATGCCGTCGTATCTCTCCAGGGAGCTGTTGGGCTTGACCTCATAGTGGCTCAGGCTGCTGCCCCTGCGGACGGAACAGTGTGGCATGAGCACTGTCACTGTTGGCTGGAAGAACTGAAGGAAGGGGGCGTGGGGCCTGCCTCCCCCAGACCATGAGGACTGGGGTTCTTTGGTCCTGGATCCTGTGGTCCAGTGAGGACAGGTGCTGCCATCAGCCTGCTGTCTGCCCCATAGGGTGGCGAGAGTCACAGAGCCAGCTACCAGCCTCTTTACCCACCCACTGTGCCCACCTAGCCTCTGGATGGCCTGGGGGTCCTGCCCTGCCACCCCATGTCATCAGCTGGTGGCTTGTGAGTGGGGCAGGTGATTGTGTCCGTGGTGGGTGGGTTGTTTCCTAGTGATGTTTTAGAACTGCTTGTGCAAAATGGTGACACGTGGCACATGGACATTTTGCAGAGTTTTTGAGACAGGGTCTTGCTATGTAGCCCAGGTTGGCCTTGAACTAGCAAATGATCCTCCTGCCTCAGCCTCCCGAGTGCTGGGATTACAGGTGTGTGCCACCACTCGCAGTTTGTAACACTTTTAAATTTTTCTTATTATTTTAAAACCCTCTTATTGCCTGTATTGGGGTGGGGTACCTCCCACTGCCCCCTGCCCATGCCAGGAGCTTGGGCCTGGGTGTCCTCCTCCCCCAGCGGATGGGGCGACCCGTCAGGGACACACCCAGCATCCCTCAGCGCTGGTACTGCATGGGGGACCCAGCAGGGGATCCACCCGAGCCTCCTCCCCACTGCCCTCCCTCACTCGCTGGCGCCCACCTGGTGAAGAGGACATCGGCCTCATACTTGAGGTGGAAGCGCAGGAGGGCTGTGTTGTCCTCCTTTGTGCTGTCCTGCTCGTCACTGTCACTGTGGGGACAGTTGGGTCAGGAAGGGGCCCTTCCTCCCTCCCCCAGCTTACCTTCGTGTCCTGGCTGCTCACAGCACAGGAGGGACCTGAGGCAGCGGAGGGGACAGGCCAGCTGGCCTAGGACAGGAAGGAGAATACCCAGGTGTGTGCCAGCCGGGTAAGGGCCAGCTGATGGCCTCCAGGGTGCGGGGCCTTTTGCTGTGTGTCACAGGATGCAGGGATGTCCTTGCTGCCGCCCTGCCCTGGGGAGGGACAGCAGGGCGCGCATCTGCCCCTGACTGGCCGCTGTGACTCCTGCTGCCTTCTCCTGGGTGTGGAAGGTATGGAGGGGGCCTCAGAGACACCCAGCAGGCACATGGTCCTAGTCACTGACTTCCCAGGGCAGGAGCACACACGGCCTCAGCTTCTCCCCGACACTGGGCTTCCCACTTTGATGCTGTGACCCCTGAGAGGGGTTCAGTGAGAAAGGGGGCCCCTGAAGCACACAGACCTGTGTGCCCCCTGGGCCACCTGAACTCAGACACCCCAGACTGGACCGACCATTCAGGTGAGCGGGGATGTGCTTTCAGGAGGGGGCCGGGAGCCCCAGGAGTATGCATCTGCCACACAGTGAGGCTTGGGGTCCTTGCCCCTGTGACCCTGCGGTGCGTGCAGGGAGTGTGGTGCATGGTTTGCCTGCAGCATCTGTGCCTTAGCTGAGGATCTCGGCTGTTTGTTTATGAGGCTCCAGCGCAGACAGGGCCCCCATGCCCTGCAGAGGGGGTTGTGAGTGAAAGGAAGCGCGTTTGCTCCCACACAGGGAAAGTCCTGCTGTGGACACACAGCAGCCACCTCCAGGAGGCCTGGGGCCAGACAGCACACATGGAGCGGGGAAGGTCTCTTAAAAATGGAAGAATTTCCAGGGAGAGGGAGGGAATGGGGCAGGAGGATAACTAATGCTCAGCTCCCAGCCGTACCATTTACATGCTGTGTGTCACTGGGGAATTCACTCAACCACTCTGAGCCTCCCTTGTCTTACCTGTTGTTTGAAGGGTGGTATGGGGAATAGCCCTTGCTTTGCTGACTTTTGGGTTTTGTTTGTTTTTTGAGACAGAATCTCATTACGTAGTCCAGGCTGGCCTCAAACTCCCGGCACTCTTGCCTCAGCCTCCTGAGTGCTAGGATTACAGGTGTGAGCCACCTCGCCCAGCTTTGCTAATCTTTACAGCTGGCTGTGAGGCCTGATGGACATCTGGACAGGGCTCTCACTGCTCTCCAGTTTGCTGCCACAGGTGAGATGCACATTGCTGCTTGGATCGCACTTGTGCCTGGCCTGGGCCCCCAGGCTGGAGCAGGGGACAGAGCTTGGAGCAGGTGGGACAGGCAGGGAAGGGTGAGCCTGACCTGCCAGAGCTGAGCTGGATCTCCAGGTGGTGCAGGAAGACAGACTTGCTGAACTCGAAGTCCAGCCGGAAAGCCACCTGCAGGAAGGGCACAGAGGGCCTAGAACTGCCTTTCCCACAGCCCGGCCTCTGTCACCCTCACCCGCGGTCACAGGGAAGAGAGACGGGGTCTTCCTATGTGGTTCAGGCTGGCCTAGAACTCATAGCAGTTCTTCTGCCTCAGCCTCCCGAGAGAGAGCTAGGATTACAGGTGTCACCCCATGCCCCGCCTTCTCTTGTTTTTATCGAGTCAGCTAGAAGGGAGCCATGCTGGATTCCCAGCAGGACTTTCAGGGTGTAGGGGGCACTCATGGTGCAGGGGGAGGGCCCAGATGGGGTCACGGCCACCGGCAGGTCCACAGGGCACTGACCCCCTCCACCTGCAGCCCAATGCCACACTGCTGCCCTGGTCCTGGGGCAAGGGGCCCCGACTGTCCTGGCCACATCTGACCCCTGACCTCCTCCCGCCCTACGGGGGCATCGTTATGGGGTGCTGTGCCAGCCCTTCTGCCCCCCAGGAGGCCGGGAGTCATCTCCCAGGTGTTGGGGGCTGGGGGTTGTATTGCCTCTCTCTCCGGAGTCCAGGAGCCCCGGACTTAGGGGTCCTGGGGAAGCTCTAACAAGGAGCCCAAGGCCACATGTGTTTCTCCCTTCCCCAGCCTTGAAGCCCCTGCTCCTGGGCACAGCACTGCCATCTGGGCCACACCCCCAGCTCCTCTCTTCTGCTTCCCATCTGCAAGCAGCTTGGCCTCAGGTCTGCTCCCCGGCCCTCTGTGGCTGCCCCGCGCCCAGGGCTGATGACCAGACACCCTCCCCTCTACATACTGCCTCCCCGGGTCACACACTTGGCTTCTTCCCTGGGGCCTCCCAAGCACATGGGTGGCAGGAGGCCAGGAGGTGAGGTGCATGCATGGCTCGGAGGCAGAGGCTGCCAGTGTGAAGAGTGGGCAGATAAAGGGTGCGGGATCAGCCCGAGGGTGGGGAGTGCTGGGGGCTTCGAGGGAAGGGAGCCTCATTTCAGTGTTTCCAGGGAGTAAAAGGGAGCTTCACACCAAAGCCCTGCGGGCCGCCCACTGGCCTTGCAGGCTCCAACCTTGGCCTTGGCCCTGAAGAAGGGGTAGCTGATGTTGCAGACTTTCTTGTGCAGCCTCCACTCCTCGTTCATACACTCGATGCTGCTGTCCGAGTCGTCCTGGGGTGGGCAGGGACACCAGGCCCGCAGTGAGGCGGGCCACCTCAGTGCCACCTCACTACCACTGACCCCAACCCGGAGGCTGCCCATCGCCCACTGCCCACGTGAAGCCTGGCGCATGGCCTGCTGGGACTCAGAGGCTCCGGAGGCAAAGACCGGGTGGCTGACACCAGGGCAGGGTCACCCTCGGCAATGCGGGCGAGGAGGGGCAGGTACCCGGGCCCGCTCTGCCAGCCCTCCGATTGCGCCTTACTGGTGGGACTGCGGCCCAGAGGGCGATCCCTGGCTCAGACCACAGGACAGTGGTGTGGGGTCGGAGGGGGGACTCGAGGCCAGCTTGGGGCCTGTGCTCCGTCCACCTGGGGTGTGCAGGCCACTGTCCTGGCCCTGGCTTCCTGCCTGGCTTTTGGGGCCGCTTGCCTGTCTGTCTCTTCCCACCACTGGCTGAGGGGAGATGGGCGCCGCATGCAGGAGACAGCCAGGCTGAGACGGGGCTCAGTGCCCACCGTGTGTTCCAGGTCATGCGGCCCCTGGACAGGAGCGGCTGTGCGAAACGGTGACAGCCACTCTGTCACCCTGGGCAGTAGGGGCAGCGTGTTTGCTCGGGACACTGAGCCCAGGCTGGCGGCCCCAACTCGGCTCACCTCCCCTCTGGGTGTGTTCTCGGGGAGGGCAGCTCTGGGCAGCAGAGGTGGGGACCACAGGCCCGGTGCCCTTGCTCCAGCACTCTGTCTCCACATGCACAGAGACCAGTGAGGACGAGACTGCACCTGGGGCCTGGGACCCACGGGATGCAGCTGGGCGGGCAGGGCGCCGGGCCTCACCTTCTGGATCAGGCTGGCGAACTGCAGGTTGGGGGACTGGGAGATGTTCAGCACCGCGCTATAGGCGTTCTCGCCCCTGTTCTCCAGCGTGGCCTCCACCGCCACCCGCCGCCGCGTGCTCTCTATGATGAAAACGGCGGTGTCAAAGGAGAGCGTGTAGGCCGAGCAGTCCTGCGCGGGCTTCCTCAGCGCCCTCTGGCAGTACTCCCTGTGGGGTGAGACCGGCAGGCGTCAGGCTCAGGCGGCTGGGACGGGAGGGGCTGAGCCTGGGCTTGGTGCAGGGACGGCCTGGGGCACAGCCACCCCGAGAAGGGGATGGGCGGCAGCCCTGCCAAGTGCTCACTGTTCAAGGCCACCTCCTGCTCTAAAGGCCCCTGGTCTCCTGACCTCATCAGTCACAGACCACTTCTCTACTCTGTTTCCCTTTTGGCCTTGGCTGCTGGGAAGCTCAGCACTAAATGTAGAGACAATCTTGATTTTCAGCCTACCTGATTAGAAAATATATATATATATATATATATATATATATATATTTGTCCTTTCATAAGGTCTGCCTGTGCTATTTCTTTTCTTTTTGAGATAGAGTCTTGCTCTGTAGTTCAGGCTGGGTTTGAACTCACAATGTAGCCCAGGCTGGCCTCAACACTGAAGCAGTCTTCCTGCCTCAGCCTCCTGAGTGCTGGGATTACAGGTGTGTGCCATCACACCTGGCTCCTCAGTATCTTTCTGTCAGGATCAGAAAGTTCAGGAGTCTGGCCAGGGCCCTGGGAGCAGCCTTAGTGGGAGTTGGAGGACGAGCGTCCAGAACGCCAGGTCCCCGGCCTCCCCTGTCTGTTCTGTAGTTTGGATTCCCTTTGTGAATACAGTTGCAGGAGCTGGGATCAGACTCGCACTCATTTTAACACAGCAGGGAGCTGAGGCCACAGAGGGCGCACAGGAGTGGCAGGCTGGGGCCGGCTAGAGCCTGGCTCGAAGTCAGTGTCTGGCCCGTGCTGCTTGCTCATGAGAAAGATGTGTGGGGAACAACCCGGGCTCCGAGAGCCCTGAGCCAGCAGCAGGGAAGCGGACACTCACATGGCTGTGGGCACGTCGCTCCGGGCATCCAGCACCAGGTCGGGGACGCAGTGCTCGTCCTCATTGCAGCCATTCCAGAAGGGCACCTGGGCCGGGGACAGCCAGGTGAGGGTGGTGGGAGGGGACCCCACTCTGGCCGTAGCACAAGTCCAGTACTGACTACCTGCTGCATGGGGCAAGATGTCTGGGACTGGGGATAGAGCGCAAGGGACCCAGCTCCTGCCCTCCACGCACGGGCAAGGTTGCTGTGTGAACAAAGAGCCATGTTGTGAAATGTGCACAAAACCAAAAGCTGTAGAAATATGAGACAGAGAGGAGGAAGTTATGTGGACATGTAGGTGGCCAGAGAAGGCTTGGAGGAAGTGATAGTGGGCCACGTTCTGAAGGGTGACCAAGTGGATCAGCGGAGTGGGAGGTCCAGGAGGAAGGACAAATCTCAGCTGTTCAGAGGTGAGCTTTCGGAGGGTGATTGGATCAAGGGGCGCTATACTCATCTGTGGGATCATCTCCTGAAGGGTTCTGAGCTGGGTGTGCTGGTAGGAGGCTGGGCCTAGGTGGAGGTGGTCACTGGGGGTATGTCCTGGAAAAGTGAACTCTTGTCCCTACTCCTCCCTTCTCCCTGCATCCTGGCTGCCATGCTGTGAGCGGATATCCTCTGCCAGGCCCTTCCACCATGCTGTTTCTGCCATGGAGCTGGCTGACCATGGACTAAACCCACAGGAACTGTGAGCCAAATAAACCTCTCCTCCTTTAGTTTGTGGTGTCAGGTATTTTGTCCCAGTGACGGGAAAGTAAGAACCATGGGACAGGAGGTGGAAAGGCCTTTGACACTTCAGGTGTGGGGTTTGGAGAGGTCGGGTGGGGTGGCATGTGCCAGGGGTACAGGCCCTGCCTGCCAGGCTGTACCGAGACTCTGAGCGTGGTGGGCCAGCCATCCTCCAGCATAGGGCCGTGCTCAGGGTCCTCCAGGGAGTACTCGATTGAAAAGGCCACCGGCTTCACGTAGTCAGCAGTGTCCTGGGGGGCAGGTGTGAGGGGAAGGAGAGAGAGGAGGCATCATTATCTGGGTCAGGGCCATTATCTGGGTCAGCAGAACTTCTGCCTCCTACCCTGGGAGGGAGGGAGGATGCATAGGGTACGGAGGTTCCCAACTCTGCAGGTGACAAGGTGTGCACGCTGCAACCCCCGGCTCAGCTGCTGCCAGCCACTGTCTGGCTGTTTCACCAAGCTCCTGCTCACCCTTAAAGGCTGGCTCCCATCTCCCCCAGTACCTCTGCCTCCAGGAAGCCCCGCAGGATGCCCCCCAGACCCGTCACTGCCACTTCCTGGGCTTTCAAGACACCTGTCTGTCACTTGTCCCTTCCAAAGAAGGGAAGAAGCCAAAGCCAGAAGCTTTTGTGCACTGTCTCACATCAGAATTCCTGGGTGCCGGGTGCATCCTGAGTTTGGGACAAGCTGGAGAATGAAGGCTTCTCTTTGGTTCTTGGTGGGGAGGAAGCTGTAGGTGCCGGCCGTTTTGGTAGGACTTGACACACGCCCCAGGGCTGACATCAGCAGACAAGTGGATATCTAGGCCACCTCACTCTTCTGACCCATGATCATTGACCTGGGCCAGGTGGATGCTTGAGTGTCCCCTGCTTTTGTCTCTGTGGTCTGGGGACTGGGCTACCACCTCCCCTTCTTCCTCTTCTTCTCCAGTACTAGGGATTGAACACATGGCCTTTGGACTAAACTATACCCCTAGCCCTTTTAATCTTTTTTCATTTTAAATTTTGAGACAGGGTCTCACTAAGTGGCTGAGTTGCCTAACCTGGGCTCAAATTTGCAGTCCTCCTGCCTCAGCCTCCCATAGTGCTGGGATTACAGGCGTGCACCACCACACCCAGCTGAGGCAAACTTCTCATCCTCTTCCTCACACATAAAATGGGCACCACCCTGCTCATGATATCAGGGGTCCCCTCCCCTCTCCCAGGCTGGTCGCTCTATACCTCCTCCCAGCTTGTCCATGCCTTGGTCCCCCCTTAACTGGTCCTTGTGTTCAGCTGGGGCCTGCAGCCCTCTCTTGTGAGCCATGAGCAGCTGGAGGCCGAGCTCTCTCCCTAGATGCCCCCAGCCCATCTCCTTCCTGGGGTTCATCCCCTGCAAAGGATCCCGAGGGCATCTGTGAGTTGCTGGGGTGCACAGGGAGGATTGGGTGGTGTGCCCCAGTGGGCTCTGCTCTGGCACAGGGTGGGGTGTAGGGTGTGTACAAGGTGGAAGTACTGCCTTCAGCTGCCCCAGGTCTCCTGCGAACTGGTATGGGCCGGACACGCTGGGCTTCCTTTCCTCAGCAGGTGCCCTCCAGCTCCGAATCCCCTTCCTGTAGGGCTTCTCCCTCTGCGGGGACAGCTGGGCTCACCAGGACGTGGAAGCTGATCCGCTGGCAGTGCTCCTGGCCAGCAGTGAGCACCGCGGCCCTGTTGGTGAACTGGTCGCTGCCCTCGTCCAGGTGCGCCCGCGGCATGTAGCGCCTCTCGTCCATGGTGGCGTTGTACCTGATGCCTGTGGGAGCGGAGGGGCAGGTCAGGGCTGCCAAGCTGCAGCCGTGTCCCAGCCAGGACTACCACTCTTCAGAAGCAGCCTCGGGAGCTCCACTTCCTCTAGAAAGGCCCTGGGTTGGCCAGGGGACAGCCGTGTCCCTTCCTACAGGAGGCCCAGGAGGGGCAGCTGCCACGTAGAGAGCCAGGGATCCAGGGAGAAAGTTCTGGGCATGGGTACGGTGGCTCGGTTATGGGGGTTCAGGCTGCTGTCTCCTCCCCTTCTAGGAAAATCGTTTGCTGGCTCTGGGAAAGGCTCAGTCCCTTGTCCTGTCTCCCAGCCAGGCCTTGGGGTACCCCAGGTCTGTGTCATTTTCCTTTCATAGACTGAACTTGGAAGGGAAGGGCAGGGCCACCCAGGGTGCCTTTGTTCTCGTCCTGACACCCTCTCTTCCATGCCTGCCTGTCACTTGCCAGAGAAGCCGCCAGCAGACCCTGTGTCTTGCGCAGGGCAACCGAGTCACTTCTGGGATGGCCTGGTGGGTGAGCTGGTATGAACTCCAGCTGCAGGCAGAGGATGGGCACAGGAGGACACGGCCCTGCTGGGCTATGTGCCCTGCCGAGCAGGGACTGCAGGTGTGGGCCAGGGCTGTCCCTCCCGCTCCTCCAGGCTGGCTTCCAACTTCTACACCCCTGTCTGCTGCTTGCCTTGAGCCCCGTGCTCTGCCCGCACCCAGACTACCTCCTCCTCCTCCTCCCTCTCTGCTCACTGCCACCCTCGTGCTGGCACCAATCCCTTTTGTCCTCAGAGAGTGCCGCAGGGACCTCTAGCATGTGGCAAAGGGGCTCTGGGTGACACCTGGTGCTCGGAGCCCGTCCCGGGGAAACTGGGCTGTGGGACAGCACAGTGCAGAGCCGGGTGGAGGGGCCTGGCTCACCGACAGTTGCCATCTGGAAATGGGGGGCCAAGAAGACAGGCGCAAAGCAGAGGAAGGCGGCCAGACAGGTGGCGTCCCTGCCGCTGCGCTTGCAGTCCTTGTGGAAGATGTTGATCTTGGACGGCTCGAAGCGCAGGCTGGCGTTGATCTGGACCACGGGCCGGGACCTGGGGGCCGGGGGTGGGGCAGGGGCTCAGGCTGAGTGCAGCGTGGTGGGGCGGGCTTGGGCCCTGGAGCAGCCCTCATCTTTGTCCCTGGGCAACCAGGCTGTTGACCACACTGAGGTCCCTCTGCCTCTCCCTCTCTACCCAGCCTGATGTCCATCAGATCTCTGGGGAGCTGGAAAACCCACTGCCAAGTGGTCCCCAGCGAAGATTTAACGGGAAGAGGCACTGGCTCTGCCCATTGTCTCCCCAGAGGCCCTGGCTCTCCACTGCGTCACCAGGTGGGCGGCACAGACATCGAAAGCCGGAGCATGACGAGTCCTTCCTGTGACAGATGCCCCGGGAGTCTGTGCACGCGGGACCTCATTTCCTGTGAAGGGTTCATGTGCCGCACCTGTCCCCGCCCAGCTGTGGATACCTGTCCTATTCTTCAGGCTGTGTCCCGGGGAACCTGCACAGGCACATTTCCTGATTGGATCATAATGTATTCCAGGACAGAAACACATCCACCTCTCCCTTTATTTTATTTTTTGCAGTACTGGGGATTTAACCCAAGGCTTTCACACTGAGTTACATCCTCAGCCCCTTTTTCCGTTTTCCTTTTTGCCCAGGCTAGGCTTGAACTTGCCATCCTCCTGCCTCAGCCTCCCAGAGCTGGGCTTACAGGTGAGCGCCAGCACTCCCGCCTTTTCCACCCCTTCTTGATTTGCCCTGTGAAGCTATATGCTATCTCTGTTTATGCCTTTTAAAAATTATATGATTATGATCACATCTATATAAAATTAAATGCAGGCAGAAAGGTTGGGAGGAAACATGACAAAACACTAGTGGTGAAGAAGTATTGAGCGAGTTTTTCCTTATTTTACAAATTTTCTCTAAGGTACTATATTTATGATGAAATATATCTTGTCAACATACAAGAAAGGCTGAAAATAACTTTGTTTTTTCTCAAAAAGTAGAAGATGATGCATGGTAAAATACATGAGCTTATAGAAAGCGTTGAAATGGAGATCAGAAAATACCAAACAAAAGGGGTTCAGGGTCAGGGATTTAGCTCAGTGGCACTCTGCCTGCCTTGCAAGTGCAAGGTCCTGAGTTTGATCCCCGGTACTGGGAAAAAAAAAAAAAAAGAGGGGTTTGGAGGACAGAACTCTCTGAATCCTATACACAGTGCCCCACACCTGGGCACAGGGAAAGGTCCTCCCGACTGAGGAAAAGGTGTCCCGTGTATCCCTTGAAGCACTTGCAAAGCCGAGCGGAAGGAATACCCTGAAGCCAGAGCTTTTAGACAAAGTCCGAGGGCTTTTGCATGCTCAGTTGGTCTGAAGTCCCAGAAATCACTCGGAAGAGACTTGGACTTCAAGATCGCTTACAAGGACCCCATGAGAAGGAAAGCTGCGGTTGGGAAGCAGAAGAGCAGGGTTTGTTTGGCTGACAGTGGTTAAAGACAAGGGACAGAGATCCCGAAGCAAGTCCTTTACACCCTGTCCCCATGGTGACCCTCTGGAGAGCCCGAGCAGGGACGATGGGGACCCACCACAGAATCACCGCGTTGCCCAGCGCGCCCACCGCCAGGTCCACGAGCCCGTCCTCATTGAGGTCCAGTTGCCCATGGATGCTGCAGCCGAAGTACTGGAGGCCGGGAGCCAGCTCGGAAGCAGCAATTCTCTGCAGGGAGAGGGGGAGGCGGGGCCTTGTGTGTGGGAGGGGCAGGCAGCAGCCTGGGCAGGGAGGACACACATAGTGGGAGCCCAGGACAGCCTGCTTGAAGCCACCAAAAACTGTCTTGTCCTGGCCTTCATGGCACCTCAGAAGCTCTTCTTTTGGATTAAAATATGTTGTCTTAAATGAGTGCCCAGCTGGGCATGGTGGCGCAGGCCTGTAAGTCTAGCACTCTGGAGGCTGAGGCAGGAGGATGGCAGGTTCGAGCCCAGCCTGGGCATCATACAAGCTTAGTGAACCTGTCTCAAAATAAAATTTATACTTAAAAAAAGGGCTGGGGACATAGCTCAATGTGAAGGCTCTGGTTCAGTCCTCAGTATTGCCAAAAAAAAAAAAAAAAAGTCTCCACAAAGTGTTTATACATTATGTTACCTGGCAGGTCACCCACCAGCATCTCAAAGCTTAGTACATTTATCACAGTATTTTACTAATAAAATATGTGGCAAAATGATGATCCTGCAGGGGGACAGGATCTGAGATGGGTTGAGTGCAACCCACCTTGAGGGCAGCAAGGTGCATGTCATCAAAGAGTTGCACAGATGCCAGGGTGGGGCCGGGTGGGGTGAGGTTCAGGGCCTGGATTTGTCCTCGTGGTTGACATTGGGAGGACAAAGGTGACTGAGAGAGGCTGCTAGGGGAGTGTGGGAAGATGCAATACACCAGTTCACAGCTGCCACTCAGGCGAGTGGAGCTGGCACACAGGCTCAAGGCCACCCAGTCCTTTGCCCCTTCCAGAGCCGCACCTGCTTGGGTGTCTTCAGGATGCCGCCCTGGGAGCCATGAAAGATGTAGATGACTCCTTGGTGGCCGTCCTCCAGCGGGGCGCCCACCACCACGTCGTTGTAGGAGTCCTGATTAAGATCCCGAACGGAGGCGATGGATGCACCAAAGCGGCTGTTCTGGTAACTGTGGGAATCCTTCAGCATCCCGTTATAAACAAACCGGCTCTGCAAAACCACACACAGCCGAGAAAGGAAGGGCTCAGGCGGCTGGGTGAGGGCTCCGGGGTCCCTACCCACTCCCCAAACCCAGTGCCAGAGAGGCCCCCTGAGTCCCAGGCCTGCCTCCTGCAGGCAGGCACCAGCCTCTGTAGGAACCAGGCCCCCTGGTGCCTACCCAGGCCAGCCCAGGGCCCTGCGCCGGCAGTACCTGTCTCAGGGTGTACACGTACACCTTGCCGCGCTCTCGGCCCTCGCTGAAGTACATGGGCGCCCCCACCAGCAGGACATCGGTCACCCCGTCATCGTCCAGGTCCACAGAGGTGATCTCACTCCCGAAGTAGGAGCCTATCTGTGCACAAGAGGGGACAGGAGTGGCCGGGCTGCTTCCTCACACCCATGGCCCTTGGCTCAGACTCAGGATTAGGGTCCCAGTGGGTCCCCCTTCTCAGACCCTGCCTTTGTCTCCCCACTTCAGTCTCCCCTGCTTTGTGTCCTTGTCCCCTTCTCTCCTATTGGCTCTCTCTTCTCTCCCCTGTCCTAATCTTCTTTATTCCCATTATTTGACTTGACTTTTGGCCATTTATTCTATCAGGAAGTGATATACTGTAATGACAAAGAAGGAAAATACCAAAAAAAAGTATAAGGAAGAAAATGAAAGTTACCCCTCGCCCCAGTGTTCAGATATAACCACCATGATTGTTCTGGAGTATTCTCTTCCAGCCTTTCTCCTGAGCCGTGTTGCCAGTTCATGCCTGTGTATGTTTTTAGTTTTGTAAATTGGGATTGTACTCTACTCACAGCGTATGTACTGAGTTGTAAATCAACAGTGTATCACGAGCCTTTTCTCCATGATGGTTTTTTTTTTCCTACAGCAGGATCCCTGCTGTACCTAATCAAGCTTCTGTCACTGGCTTTTAAACTTTACTGTCACAGATCTGACTTGGGACTTGGGTGGCGAATGACAGTTCCTCCCTGGCTGCTGACACTCACTGTGTCCTCTCCGGGTGTGGGTGCAGGGCTCCCTACCCAGGTGTGGGCACCCACTCACCTCATCACAAACCTGAAGGTCCCCCGGTCCCAGCTCCCTCCACCTCTCCCACCTGCAGAGCTACCAGCAAGTCCCTCCTGGCCTCGGTCACCACCCCATCTGCCTCTGACTGCCCCCTGGGTGTGGCGCCTCTCAGAGGTCCCTCTAAACGCCATGGGTTGGTCCCCAGGCACTAGGCTGCGTCCGTGCTGTGTGCTTGTGTTTGGGATAAAGGGCTAAACTCTTCAGTGTGATGCTGCAGGCCTGTCCCCTCCCTGGCCTCTGTCCCATTCCTGCTCCCAGTACTGTGGCCCAGCTGCTGTCTACCCACTGTTCCTTTTCATCACAAGGCCCAGGCCCCAGCTAGGCCTGAGCTTCCCACTGCACAGCTTCCTGGGTGCATCCTCTCCCCTGCCCCCCTACCCTTCAGGTCTCAGCAGAAGTATCACTTCCCTTTATGCCGTCCCTGGCTTCCCCACCCACTCCCTGCCCTGGGTGCCCCTCCCTGATGCACCCAGACCCCACATCCTCCCTCCAGCATCTGCTCTCTGCCCGGGAGCCTCACGGGACCTGGGCATCATGTGTGGCACCCAAGAGGGACTGCATATGTGCTTTTGGGTCGCATAGGGAAGGGGGAGGCCCCTGCCTGTGGACAGGCCCTTGGTTAGCTTGTGTGAGGCCCTCGCACAGGACTCATAGTTGTCCCATTTCATTTATTTTTATTTTTTTTGCTGGGGATCAAATTCAGAGCCTCACACACTAGGCAAGTGCTCTTCCCTTCTTGAGCTATCCCCAGAGTCAGGCTGCCTCATTTTATAGAGGAGGAACCTGAACTCCCAGAACCCGGGTTGCTGTCCAAAGTCAGAGGCTGATCTCTGCCAGGCCCTGTCTGACCCCCAGGCCCCCAGAATCACCTTCCCCACCTTGTCCTGGCACGGGGTGTTTTCAGATGAAAGTTACATTCAAGTGTTAAAAGCTTTGACCTGTGAAGGAAGATCAAAATACAGGCGAGGGAAAGAGCAGCTGATAAGCCCGGAGTGGGAAGCAGGAGAGATGGTCTACGTGGAGTAATTAAGAGGCAGACAGAGCAAGTAGGGAGGGAGGGAGATGCTGGTCTAAATCTGTGGCCTCTCCTATGTGGGTCACAGTGACTTGGAATCCATTTAATTCAGCTGCCTTTAGCACTGTGGTTTCTGATTCGGATGTTGGGGTCGAACTGGGCTGAAAAAATGTCATAAATTCATCAGCAAATTCCCTCTAGCACTCAAGGTCTGGCCCTTGTTCTCCAGGGAGCTGGCCTGGGGCAGCCAGGCAGCCAGGCAGGCAGGGAGGAGGTAGTGGTGGCCCCAGGGGTGGGAGAGGAGCTGTAGGACTTAGGCCCCCCAGGGAGGAGCGAGGCCTCATAGTGGTGGGTGAGGGCGCAGAGCAGGCGAGCTGGGAAAGGCAGGCAGGTAAAGCCCTGGACAGGGCTCAGCTCAGGCCCAGGGCGCTGGGGCCATGGCCACTCAGGAGAAGTAAGGCCTGGGTTGGGGACGCAGGGGTCAGGAGGGGGCATAGTGCCAGAGAGCCCATCCCAGGCCTGGACCCTTCACTTGCTCCAGCTGTGAACCTGCTATATATCTTGGAAAAGCCATGTAGCTTCCCAGGACCAAAGATTTCTTGGCTACTGCAGTGATTTCTAACCTTTTCCGTTTTGGCACTGGGGACTAAACCCAGGGCCTTTGCACTGAGCTCCATCCCCAGCCCTTTAACAATTTTTTTTATTTTGAGACAGAATCTAACTAAGTCATTAAGTTGTCATGCTCCTGCCTCAGCCTCCCAGAGCACAAGGATTACAGGTATGCACCACCAAGCCTGGCTTCTGACCCTTTCTTTATCTTGGCTTTCCTATTTGCATTCATGACTGCCCAACACAAGACTCTTTGTGTCACTATCTGGTTGCCTACCACACCCAGGTGGGGCAGTGGCATTGTGCCCACTCTGCATTGACACCATTCCAGGGAAAGGGGAGGAGCTGGCACCCGAAGAGCCCCATGGGGCCTTGCTGCGAGTAGACCCCCCTGGCAGCAGGAAGGTGACTGGCAGGTGTGACTGCCTCGGGATGTCTCAGGGCCCCAGCAGCCAGGTCTGGGTGCCATAACCAGATGCTGCCTGCAGCAAAGGGCTGGAGGAAGCTGGCAGCGGCAGCAGGGGTTCGGCCAGTGCCCAAAGGCAAGAGGACCAGGACATGGAGGTGAGAATTCCCCCCAGTTTTCCAGGCTTGGGGCTGTTTCAGGGCAGTAATGAATGCTGGGCCAAGATGCCTTCAGCTGCACAGTGCTGAAGTGTATGCTGCATTGGGGACCACACACAGGGGCTGGGGACTGCCCGCCCCACAGGGAGGGACCTGTGCACTCCGTTACCTGCTCGCCCCGAAGAGCCTGGCGGATACTGAGGCTCCGGTTGTTGTGCATGGTGAACAGGATGACTTTGCCTGTGTGGTTGAACCGGGGGGCTCCGGCCACGTACACCCGCCCCTGCCTGGAGGACACGACCGACGTCACTGTGTACCCTGCCATGGGAGGAAATGGGCTGGTCTCTGAGCCCTGACCTCGGCCAGCCTCGCCTTGACGCAGACAGTGCGGCTTTCTGCCAGTCTGGCACCTGTCCTGGGGACACTGCCTCATGTGCTGTGACCCTGGCAGGGGCGGGGAGCTCTGAAGACCCCCATGGGCACACTCGGAGTGGGGAACCAAGTGTCACTCCCTATCCCTGTGTATGAGGAGCCTGTTATGTGCCGGCTGGAGAGATGGCTTTGGCCCCCTGCACCCCGTTCATTCTGCAGCCCGCTCCCCGTGTCCTGCACCCCAGGCCTCACCCAGGTACGAGGCGTGGTTCTTGAGCTCCTCAGGGAACTCCTTCAGGTAGGACTCGCGCAGAGGGATCACCTTGCCGCTGCTCGTTTCCTTCAGCACAGCCCCGTTCCAGTCGTAGGCGCCCACGGCACCCAGCAGAATCCCGTCCTGGCGCCCGGGAGGGGACACGTCAGATCCAGCAGCTGGGGAGGCCTCCGGCAGCTGCCGTGTTTAGGGTTCACTACGGAGCACCCTCACTTCCAGCCCATCCTCAGCTCAACATGGCCCAGCATTGGGTCCCCAGGATGGGAATTTAGAAAAAAGGGACATTCTAGGACAGCAGCGGTGAAACTATGGCATACAAACTGCAGCCAACTGTTTGTTATCACTGAAAGCTCTAAAATCGCCATCACTGTTCTAGGATAAACTCCAAATCTAAGACCAAACCTGCACTCCTGCTTGGGCTTCAAAACCCTTCAGGAGCTGGGTGTGGTGGTGGACACCTGTAATCCCAGCACTTGGGAGGCTGAGGCAGGAGGATTGCCATGAGTTCAAGGCCAGCCTGAGCAATGTAGTGAGCTCAAGGAGAGCCTGAAGTACAGAGCAAGACCCTGTCTCAAAAAATAAACAAATAAACAACCAAACCAACCAACCCCTTTTGGGTGTCAGCCCTTCCTTGTGACCTTCTTCTGAATCTCTCTTGGGTGTCTAGGTTGGCTTCCTGTGCGAATCCTGCTCCTGATTACCACACCCTGTTCACATGGCCCAAATGCCACACTGCACCCCTTAAATATACATGGGTCAGTTAAAAAGAAAAAGCCCACTCCTTCATCTTCAGTACAAGTTCACCTAGCACCTGCTCTTTGCCAGGCTCTTGCTTGGTGCTGGGGACATTGTCCCTGTCCTCCCAGAGCTCAAAGATATTAAACAAACATTCAAGGAAACATATAGCTGCAAACTGTGGTAAATGCAATCACAGTAAGGCTTCATTCAGATTGAGATGGGGGTCAGGAAGCAGTTGGAAGGAAGTGATGTTTCCCAGCACCAGAATGATGGGTTGGGCCAGAGGGGAGTGGGGCTAGAGGGGAGGAAAAGGGCCAGGAGCAGCTTGTGCAAAGGCCCTGTGGCTGGAACAGGTCAGGGCGTCTGCTTTTGAGGAACTGAAAGCTGTTTGGTGGGGCTAGAGCTTGAAGTGAGGGGACGGAGTAGCTGGAGATGAGGCTAGACAGATAACACAGGACCGCATCTGTGACAGCCAACACCCCAAGGACTGGAACTTGTTTCCCAGGGCTTGGAAGGACTCCTGCCCACCAGGAAGACAGGAGGGCATCCTCATGTTTCCATGTCCACAGTCATCTCCTGAGCCCTGGGTCCCTTTGCCCCCCATGGGGCCCTTCTCCTGCCCCTCTACCAACCTGGCATAAAAAGCCACAAGGTAGTGGGGCACAGGAAGACCCAAGTGGGTGAGTTAGCGGGGAGGCCAGCATCCGTGGAGGGCCCATCCAGGGGTGGGGCAGTGTGTCAGATCCCAGCTTTGAGCTTGTAAAACACAGCAGGTGATGTCACCGCACCCTGCTGGTTCCTGGGTCAAGCTGATCTCTCAGAGGGTTCAGAAACACCAGCTCCCCAGGGTGGTCCTGACTCCGAGCCGCATTTTCACAGCCATAAATAAGTGCTCTTGGGCAAGTCCAATGCTTGGTTATGTTTAACATCGTGCTTTCTAATCAGCTGTCTTCCTCCTGTTCTGTGCTTGGCCTCAGCTGGGGAAGCCAGGACTGGGCCAGGGACTTGAACACTCCCGCTGTCCGAAGTCAGCACCAACATCCCTCACCCTTGGGCCGAGCTCCGGGCTGTCCAGCCCTTTCTCATCCAGTGCCCATTTGGGCCCCCGAGGGCACAGAGCAGTTAGTATCTGATCTCCACAAAGCAGCAGCTGAGGTTCAGAGAGGGCTGGGGAAGGGTGTGTTGGAGCCACAGCACCGGGCAGCTCCACATCTGGGCAGCTGCAAGGCCACCCTGAGGGGACCTGTACCAGCCTGAAGTGTGGCACGTGGGATGCCCAGTTGTTTCCCGGCTGGCCGCCGGCCTGGCTTTCCCCACCAACCTCTTCAGATTTTCTCCAGACTCAAAGTGCCTGGGTGCCCTTGGCCAGGATGAGCTTGTGACGTCCTGAGGGTCCCTCTGGTGGCCTTCACATTCCCACTCCTCCCCACACCCCCTGGTGCCATGTGGCCCTCCCTGTCCCCAGCAAACCCACTCTCAGAAAAAGGTGCTCCAGCTCTGGGGGACAAAATGGCATAAAATGAGGGACAGGAGCGAAACTGGAAGAGGCAGTGTCCAGACTGGACTTTGAGGAACATGAGGATATTTTTCTATTCTACCCAGTTTAACTCCCTGGTTAAAATCCCAGCCTGGCATTTGGCTTGCTCTGTGGCCTTGGGCAAGTCCCTTACCCTCTCTGACCACATTCCCAGAGTCCGTGGCAGCCACATCCCAAGCCAGGTGGTGTGGTCCTGGGCAGTGGCTCCCAGCTGGGCCAGTTTGGGCCCAGTGCCCGCAAGCACTGCCAGGGCCTAGGGTGAGAACCCTGGCTGGGGGTAGAGCAGGACTCGGGCTCAGATGCTCCTGGGTCCAACTTCGGCTCGAGTTGCGTAGCTTCCTCTGTCTCTGTCTCTCTGCTCCAGGTTTCTCAGCTTTAACATATTTTTTGTGGTAAGTAGCACCATGTTTAATTCTCAGCGCAGTGCTCTGTACCTGGTCCTGGTCCCCTCTGGGGTCCGGGGAAGACTGAGGGCACAGGAAATGAATCTGATTTCACAGCCAGGTAGCCACACACAGGTGAGAAGGTCTGGTGGGCGAGGACAGGCTATCTGGGGGTCTTGGGAGGGGGCCAACTGAGGGAGGGGAGGATGCATAGCAGGGGAGTTAGGAAGAGTTCAACAAAACCCCACTTGATTTACTGGTGAGTTCTGAAATGAACCTTTAGGTCCAAACCTCATGAAAATATCCCTCATTTCTAGGGATATTCATCAGACATCTTCACAGAGTCTGAAGTTCAGAGAGGTTAAGTGGTTTGCCTGAGCCTGCGTGGCTGGGCAGCAGCGGGGTTAGGTAGGACTCGGATGCCAGCAGCCCTTCCTGCCACCTGCCTCGGCTTCTGCCAAGCTCAGCTATGGGGCCAGGTGGAGGCAGGGCGGGTGATCCTTGTGCAGGTGGGTGGGCTTGAACTTGGAATCCTCCTGCCTCAGCCTCCGGAGTGGCTGGGTGCATCACTGTGCCCAGCTAGGTTTTCTTATTTTTTATTGAATCAGACATGTGAAACTAGTTCAAATGCAAAACCCACAGGAAAAAAAATCACACTGCTAAGGCCTCAACTACTGAGGACCTTTGATAACGGCCAGCAGCCTTCGCCATCCATAAACCAGCAGGGCCTATGGGAAGGCACAGGCCGGGGACACAGGCAGCTCCATGACCTTGGTCTCCTTCAAACCTGAACAGGGCTTGATCACTTGCAAGAAAAGAGCCCACACCCATATATTACAGAAAAAGAAAAATGAGCTCTCCCTTTCCATTTTGGTGGCAGCCAAGGTTTTACTGGTAGGCAGGATTCACCCTTCTAAAATTACTGCCTCCTTCCGAAAGCTCCTGGTGTTGGGGCTGCCCTATGGACCTCAGGGTAGAAGGGTTGATGTCAAATCCCATGCGGAGCCCACGCTGGTCAATGGGCACCACTTACTCACAGTCCCCTCTCCTCTTTTGCATCTTCCCTCGAGGCCCCGGAGTTAGACTCTTCCGTCTGCTTCCCCTTTGGAGGGAGGGCTCCTTTCCTCATGCTTCTGGCAGTCATAAAGCTTCTGCTTGATTATCCAACTGGACAGGGAGCTCACTGACTGCAGTGGGCACAGTAGAGCTGGTCCTACTCTTAATGACTTTTGCATGCATTTTCCAAATGTTCATTGAACCATGGGCTTAAAAATCTGTTCCAAATCTTGACCAGGACTCCGTCGTTAGCCTTCTGGATGGTCATTTTCAGAAAATGCTGTCTTCTCTCTGCATCAAGACTAGCATTTGTGGCTGCTTGTAGCACTGAGCTTCTGTCATCATCCCGTGGCCTGTGGCCATGGACTCTGCAGTGGCCAGGTGATGTCCTGGGGTCCCCTCTCTGCCCTGGTGCAGGTCTTCTTTTCCGCTGCTTTTGCCCTTGCTGGCTTACGGGCTGGGTCCTTGCTGGAAAGCAGGTGATGTGAAGCCGGGCCTTTCCTCTGCCCCCACCTCCCCAGGGTGGGGACCTTTTCTTCTCATGTCACTGAACAGGCCCAGGAAGCTTTCGGCTCCGGCACATTTTCAGGCAGCAGCTTCGAGAGGCCATGGGCGCCCACATCTGGAGGGAGGGAACCCCAGTCTCGCCTGGGACAGGCACTCACTTTGGCTCCGGACCTGCTCAGGGCCTCTGAGGGCTGAGGCACCAGGCGCCTGGGGACAGGATGGTCACCATGATGGTCACGACCTCTGTGCTCTAAAATAGCAGCTCCATGGCTGGCCACAGTGCCAGAAAGCTTACCGCAATAGTGCCACTCCTTTGCTTTCTGAAGTTTTTCTTTGATCCTGCTCTTGCAGCCCAGGACTGCTGATCCTGACTCTTGGCAACCCGACTCTTCGTGGCAAGAATCTTGACTCCTTTTGAGGCTTCAGTTGCATTTGACAAATGCTGGTTGCCTTAAATTGCATTTCCTTGCTGCATTTTCGGACCCGCCAGGACCCCAGAGTCAGTTGCCAAAGCACAGGACTTGCAAGTGGATGCTCTTGCCTTCCATTGCCCAGTTCCCCTCCCTGGGACTGGGGGTTCTGGGGAGCCGGGAAGCCAACTCCACTCCTCCCCTACCCAGCACAGAGAAAGCACTGGAAATCTGGCAGGTCCGGCCACCTCAAACCCAGTATGGATCACCACCTACAGACCTTGCAGGGCTCCTGGGAGCAGGAAAGGGGTGCAGGAATTGCCTGGCGAAGTGTGTGGGCTGTGCACAGGCACTGGGCTGTTCCTGCACCAAGGCAGCTGCATTTGCATCTCGCTGTGTTCAGGGCTTGGCACATGTACCTGTCTAGATGTAGCTTGGGAATATCTGAGTGCGAGTAATGCTCCCGTCCATCTGTCTGTGGCACAGTATGTGCGCGCCTCGCTCCAATCTGGATTCTGACTCAGACCCCCAAGCTCCCTGCTGTCTCAGGGAGCAGTTGTTTGGCTTGGTATGAAGGGAGGGCCAGTGCTCATGTTTTTCTCACTAATCCTCCTCCAGTGGGTCACTTAGCCTCTCTGTGATTTGATTTCCTTGTCTGTATCCTGGGAACAAGGACTCCTGCCCTGTGCGCCTCGAAGAGTAAGGACATCTCAGTGGGAAGATGGACTTGTAGCTGGAAGGGAAGGGCTGAGCCCTAGGGCCCCAGGCACCAGTGTAGATGAGAAGCCTGGGCCCCTCCCTCTGAGGCCGGGCCGCATGGGATCCCTGCAATCCAGTGCTTAGTGTGCAAAGTTGGGGTCCACACAGCCAGCTACCAGAGCCAGAGCCCCTGGAAGCCCTCCAGCATGGACACGGGGACCACACCCCAAGCGCCACGCCTAGGACACTTTGAACACCATGGTGCTGGCAAGGTGCATGCAATCCCTGCCCTGAGACCTAGTTTTGCACCAGGTTCTGTGGCCTAGAGGGGACCCTGGCCCCGGAGAGAAATGTCCCCATCAGTGTCCTGCACAGCGCCCCTTCCGGGTGGGAGTAGGGGTTTCTCTGCTCACATCTGAAGAGGTCTAGGACAGAGAATGCAAAAAAGCTGCAGATTTTGACTTTCATCTTCCTGCCCACTGGGGATTCTGGGAGGCAGAGACCCAGGAAAGAGCAAAGGAGAGGGTGACATACTTGTGCCAGGAGGGATGACCGTACCAGCCAAGGGTGCTGGGGAATGCAAGAGGGCGCACCCGAGAGGTAGCGCGAGGGCAGCCACGCAGGACCCCTTACCTCCACCACGTGCGAGGAGAAGCCTGTCTGTGACATCTCCAGCCCAAAGGACGTTTCGTTCTTGTTGGTGCCTAAAACAGGGACACAAGGACAGTGAGATGTTAGCCCAGGGCCTCACTGCTGAGCACCAGACAGAGCTCAGTGCACACTTCCGCTTCCTGGGGGGTGTCTCCTTTGAGGGGGCCCTGAGGCTGAGGCCTGCAGGGCCACCAGCATCCCCTGCCCTTGTCACCTAGCGCTTTCCAGGTAGCACACTGAGTAGTCATTTCTGAAAGGGGCACGGGACGAGTCAGGTTACAGGGAACAGGCACCGTAAATGACTGCTGAAGTAGGGAAATCGAGAAAATGCATGGAAATCACGGACATTTTAGCAAGAGATGGAAGTTGCACTTTGTTCATCCCTGTTATGTACCAGCTGCCTGCGGAGAGCTCTGAACACCAAGCTGACCAGCAGTAGGGAGACCTGTCACCCCACAGTTCCTCACAGGGAAGCCCCCGTGTGCCCAAAGGCCCTCTCCACAGCAGGGCTCATTGGAAGGATGCTCTGGTCACCCAAGGTGACCATTTGGGGAGGAAGATGTTGATTTTGATATTTAGCTCTGCTGTGGGTGTCAAAGTTGACACTGTGTCTTCATCTACCATTGCTTCCGTGGGCCATTCTGATCTCTGTCCATGTGGCATTTCCTGTGCAATCAGACTTTGAGGGACACTGTCTCCTGTATGCTTTTAGAACCCTCCCAGATGTCCAAAGCCCAGGCTGGAAGGACCCGAGACAGCAAGGCACAGTGCACATGAAATCCGTGCACATCAAGATGCACCTTGGATCCCGGGGGTGAGGCAATGGGAAGAAACCCTGCAAAGGCTGCTCTGGTGGACCAAGACAAAGTGGCACATGGAAACTGAGGGTTCCAGGCTATGAAGTGGGGCCCGTGTGTCTCAAACTAAGGTTGCCAGAGAAAATACAGGTTGCCTGGTGCAATCTGAGCTTCAGATAAACAATGCATAATATTTTAGTATGAGCCTTTCACAGGCATGTTTTTTTTTGGTTTTTTTTGAGACAGTCTGTGTAGCTCAGGCTGGTCTTGGACTCACTATGTAGCCCAAGCTGGCTTCAAACTTGCAGCAGTTCTCCTGCCTCAGCCTCCTGAGTGCTAGGATTACAGGTATGCACCACCACACCTGGCTCACAAGCACTGTATATTTGCCAAATCAGGCAGCCTTGGTTCAAACCCCACTCCTTGCCAGGCATGGGGGCCCTGCCTCCTTCAGAGTAGAATGCAGAGCCTATCAGCACATCAACCTTTTGGGGCTGTTTGTAAAGTGCATGCCTCCACCTCCAGCAGGAGCAACACACCGTTGTTGGCATCTTGATTAAGCAAGGACTCTTGCTAAGCACCTCTGCTCTGTGGGCTTGGAACTCCTCCTTGGAATTTGTCTGCGGTAAACCCAGGACTCGGAGCCCCTCTCGTCTTGCAAGGCTCACCTTCTAGGCTGAAGATCCGTTCCCCCAGGGCATCAACAATGTCCTTCAGGGCTGCCTCATCTGTGACATTGAAGAAGTGCTTATCGTCGGGGTCGCTGGCGATGTATTTGATTTCATTTAGAAAAGTTTCTGGATTGATGCCCCTGCGGTTGTAGTAGCCCAGGACCTGCCAGGGAACAGGGGCAGGGACGGCAAAGCAGGACATGACCCGACCTCCTCCCCAACACACCTGTGACCCGACCTGGGGGCCCTGGTGGGCTGGAGCCAGGAGTACCGCTTGAGGTGCCCATCTGCATCTGAGGGAGATTCTCACAGGGACAGCACCAAGCCCCGGGGTTCTGGGAGCTGTGAGGCTCGGGGGCGTTTTCTAGCTTTTGAGGTTTCTGAAACTTCCTGGCTAAGGAAGGAAAAAACAAGGCCACAGCTTTTATGGCCAGGCCTGCTCAGTGCTAAAGAAGAGTTTAACCTTGTGCTGCAGAAGAGGCCGAAACGAGCGGCCCCTTGGAGGCCCCGGACCCTGGCTGTGCTGCAAAGACACCCAGGGCCCCCAGGGCTGCGATGGCCGAGCCCCTGAGAGCAGGACTTACGGCCACAGCGTATCTCGTCACGTTGTCCCTCTCGCTCTGCTGGATCACCTTCTCCAGGTCCTGGCTGTCGTGGGACTCCCCGTCCGTGATGACGATCATCACCTTCTTGGCCCCTTTCCTTCCGCCCTTCTGGAAGGCCTCGGAGCTGGAACCCAGGGTAGGAGCGGGTCATGGGGGGAGGTGAGGACAGGGAGGCCCCAGAGGCCAGGACTGGGCTCCTTGGGCAACACAATGGGCCGACACCTTGGGACCTTGGTTTAAAGCTGTAGCAGTGGTGACACGCAGGTTGCTCTTTCCCCAGCTGCTCAGGTAGGGCTTGGATTTACATGTTTTTATTTAATTTATTTTGGTTTTTTGAGACAGTGTCTTCCTATGTAGTTCAGGCTGTCTCTGAACTCACTCTATAGCCCAGGCAGACCTTGAACTTTTGGTGATCCTCCTGCCTCAGCCTTCCAGATACTGGGATAATGTGTGCCACCACACCCTGCTTCTGCAAATTTTTAAACTTTAAAAAGCCCCTTTGGACATTGGCATAGGAACTTTATGAACAAAACCTCAGTAGCTCAGGAACTAACACAAAGAATCAACAACTGGGATCTCATCTTATTAAAAAGCTTCTGCACTGCAAGAAAAACAACCAACAGAGCTGAGAGACAACCTACAATGTGGGAAAAAAATTTTAGCAGCTCTACCTCAGACAAAGGCCTACTATCTAGAATATATAAAGAAATGAAAAAAATCAACCCCCCCAAATTCAAAGACCCAATTCAAAAATGGGCATCTGAAATGAACAGACATTTCTCAGACAAAGAAGTAAAAGCAGCAAATAAACATATGAAAAAATGTTCAACATCACTGGTCATTCGAGAGATGCAGATGAAAACAACACTGAGATTCCACCTCACCCCACAAAGAATGGCTGCTATCAAGAAATCAACCAATAACAAATGCCGTCGGGGTTGTGGGGAGAAAGGAACCCTTCTCCATTGTTGGTGGGAGTGCAGACTGGTGCAACCACTGTGGAAATCAGCATGGAGATACCTCAAAGAACTAGGGCTAGAGGTCCCATTTGACCCAGCTATTCCCCTGCTGGGGATCTTCCCCAAAGAATTAAAAGAATCATATCCCAGTGATATATGTGCACCCATGTTTATAGAGGCACAGTTTGTAATAGCTAAAGCTTGGAAACAGCCCAAGTGCCCATCAACTGGAAACTGGATAAAGATGATCTGGTATTTTTATAAAATGGAGTACTACTCAGCCATAAAGAAGGAGAAACTAGAGACATTTGTAGCTAAATGGATACATATTGAGGCCATACTCTTAAGTGAAATAAATAAGACACACATGTGTAAATACCGAATAGTTTCTCTAGTGTAAGAAACTGAGAGTGTAAATAGGATTAAAATGATTAAAATGAATAATTGATAATTTGAAATAGGAGGAAAAGGTCCAAAGGGGCAGGGATGGTGGGAGGGGAGGGGGAAAGGAAAGAAGGGAAAGGAAAAATTATGAGAAAAGGAAAAAAATGGAAACAATATATGTAAATAGGGAAGGGTGGAGGGGTGAAGGGCACACAGGTAATGGGGAAAAAATAAGAACCAAGATACATCATGTATAGGTACAAGCACCCAATGATAAATGTAAATGTACTGTATACCTAAAATGTACCAATAAAAGAATTTAAGGGGAAAAAAAACCCCCTTTGGGTCCCTGATCTTGCTGTTTTGGGCAGACAGAGGGAGTGAGGAGGACACAGGAAGGGAGTTCAGAAGCCACTAGTGACTTTTAGGGGAGCTAAGTTAGTGCCTCAGAATCCCAGTTGCACATTAGGATCTCTTGGGGGAGTTTAAAAAAATATCGAGATCAGACTCTCCAGGGGGCTGGCCTGGGCATCAGTAGTTTTCAAAAGTTGCACACCATTTGCTAAGGCCCAAGAAGGCGAGGGGCCAGGGTAACTCAACGAGCACACAGCTGGCCATCACCTGTGTGTCAGGAAGCCTGACTGTACTGGCTTTTCCCACAGGGCTGCTTTGATTCTATTTTGGGAAATACTCAATATCAGATTCATGGAAAATATTACTCTTACTTTTTACTGTGTTTCCATTGCCCAGAGCCTGAGTGTGGCCCATCTGTTGAGCCACTGAGCCCAAGGGACACAGGGTTGGCCCAGTCACACTCAACATGGCAAAGGAGCTCTTGGTACTGCCACTTGGTCTAAAGCATGGGAAACTGGCCCTTTCTGCCCTGTGGCCAACACTCCTTAGACCTGAAGTTCTGAGAAGGACAAATGTGGTCTCACCCAGGATTCTGGCCCAGCAGGTAGAATTCCCAATAAGGATCCGAAACTAAATGGGACTCGCAGACTCTGGGGCGACTGCTCGTGGATCCGGCCCATGGTGAGGCAGGAGGACAGCCTCAGATTTGAGATATGAAAGATCAGAAGACAGGTGTGTGTGTGGGGGGGGGGGCGCTGCTGGGGAGCTGCTGTGTGTGATTCGGATGTCGAGGAATTCACAAGACCTGGACTAAGTTAGCTCAGAATTCTTCACTTGACCAGCAAAGAGGAAAAGCCATCTGCCACTGACTTAGCGACTCATGATATTCTGGATGTGTGCACTTAGAAAAACCCTTTCAGGGCTGGGGATTTAGCTCAGTGGCTCCGGCGCCTGCCTCCCAAGCAGAAGGTCCTGAGTTCAATCACCGGTACCAAAAAAAAAAAAAAAAACCCCTTCATGTTAGCACGAGCTGTGGCCCCAAAGCTCACTTGAGCAGATCTTGGGTGTCAGCCCGATCCATATTCTAGATGTTTTCGTGGCCTCCTTGAAGGGTCAGGCCCAGCAACAAGGCTCCACGCAGAAAGACAAATGGCAGGGGAAGGACAGATTTTATGGAGCGAAGAAAAATTTCAGGACCAAGAACAGGACAGTGTGAGTGTCTACGAATCTGTAACAGCATGAAGATCAGCAGAATTACCAGATTTTCAGTTGGGATTTTGTGGTGAGTAAAGGGACTTGGCTTTGTTCCTTTGCCCATGAGATTATAAATTCCTTGAGAGTAGTGAGAGCTTTGTGTTCACAGCAGGTTTCACCAAGCGAGAAACCATAGTGAGCCACGGATGTTCAGCACGTATCACCGAGTCACGTCTGCTCTGCTTAGCACTGGCCTGGCTCCCACTTGTCTCAGGGGAAGCTCCCAGGGTACCTTCCTCTCCAGTGCCCACTGAGTTAGGATCAGGGTCCACAGTCCTGAGAGCTCCTCTGTTGGGCTGGGGGCTGCCAAGGCCGAGGCTAAGGCAGGTTACCATCTTTGTAACCATCCAAGTCCATAGCCTGGATCTTTGCCCTTTAGTAGGTACACGGAAAAAAAGAATAAAAGTCATTATGAATAACAAGAGAGGAGAGAAAAGTTTTCACCTTACTGGCAGAGCTGGGAGTAGTGGCACAAGCCTGTAATCCCAGCTCTCTGGGAGGCTGAGGCAGGAGGATCAAAAAGTTCAAGGCCAGCTTAGGAAACTTAACGACTTAGTGAGAAGGTGCTGGCTTTAATCCTCAGTACCAAACAAACAAACAAACAAATAAATAGAGGCAGCAAGTTTGGGATGTGAATTTGGCAGGCTGGAAGGTCAGGATTTCAAACTTCACTTGCAACCCCAGCTGTGCTCACAAGTCAGGAATGGTTTAAACTACCTGGTGAATCACACAAGAGGAATCGACCTGAGGTTGGTGGGCTGCAAAATGAGACCAAAATAGAAGGCTTCATCCCGGTATGAGTCAGTTTGCTTCCCACTGGGAAAGTGATAGCGGTGGTGACCAGATTCCTTCGTCACTCGGCCACTTCACAAGGGCTGGCTGGGGTCTCAGGTCAACAGCAGAATGGTCTGTTCCTCTGTGGACCAGTAACAGAGCCATCTTCCCACAGGGGAACGCACTCACTTAGGAAAAGCTCCAGGGAGTTTTATCAGCAAACAGAAATACACTAGTTAAGCAGTGACTTAATCAAAAGAAGTTGTGGGGTTGGAAAGATCTTAATCTTTTGACCACATGAAATCATGATACAGCTAAATTGCTCTTATGTCCTGGAATTTTAACACATCAACTAACCCTAAATGAGGTGGGACGATAAGGTAATGGTGCTGTGGGCTCTAGAAGAACTCATAGGCATGAAGTTTAGACATTTAAAATGTAAATGCCTTTGGCATAGTTGACTATTTCTTCCACAAAGAGGTTCCACCCTTATGGGACCTGCACTTTTACAGTGTGTCTGTGGCAGAATGTGTTTTCCAAAGTGGCCCAATTCCCTTCTGGAAGGTGACCTTGTTGTTCTGCCATCAAAAGGCACAAATTCTCTCCCCCTGGAACCTGGATTGGCCTTAGTAACTTGCTCCACCAATAGGATGTGGCCGAAGTCACACACTGGGACTTCTAGGCTAGGGGACAGGCAGCCTCCCAGGACCTGCCTGGGTCTCTAGGGGAGCTTTCTCTTGGGAGAGTACTCTTCAGGTGTCATGACATGAGCAAAACAAGCCACATGGTCACATGTGGGTGCTCAGGTGCCCAGGTCCACCCAGCATCCAGCAACACTGGCTGGTCACGTGAGCGTGCCATCTTGGATGTCCAGCCCAATGGAGCCTTCAAGTGACACCAGCCCCAGGTGTCCCAGACTGATGCCACAGGAGAGAACCCAAGAGAGGACTGATTAGCTGGGCCCCGTCAACCCCTAGAACTTTGAGGAATAAAACATTGTTTCAAGACACTAAATTTTGTGTAGTTTGTTACACAGCTATAGGTAACTAAAACAGTATTTGAGATCTGAATTTTTTTTTTTTTTTACCGAGCAAATTCGATGCCAAATGCTGTTCGGGTCTCTGTTCCTCCTCTCTGCTCTATGTGGCTGGCAGCTTCTACCACATCCTTGACAGACCTGTAGTCATTGAGGTGAAACTCATGGACCACGTCTTCTCCGTACTGAACAACTCCAACCTGCAAGGCAGAGAAGGGAAAAGAATGTCTCTGTTCCTGAAACTTAGACCTCTGGCTGTGACAGTTCAGCAGTAAGGAGTTGTCTTTCCCAAGAAGTAACTAGAGCCCAAGGAAGAAGGTTCTGGAAAGTTCTGGAATAAACACATGGCTCTGTGGGATGAGGGGGTGCACTCAGAGAAAGGAGACTTTGGGATTTAGGGAAAGGCTCCATAGATTGTCTTGTTGAGCAAAGCATGGAAATCTTAAATATGAGGATCAGGTTGGGTGAAGGGTCTTGGTGAAGAGGTCCTTTCATCTGCAAGGTTGATAAAGCAATGACAATATTAATAGCTTTCCTAATTAACAAAAAACCCTTAATGACCTGTGGTAGGGATCCAACAATAAAATGTTACTGTTGGGTGGGCCCATGGAGTTCCTTTGGGACAAGTGCCCTTCAATTACTGGATGGTCACCCCCGACAGCCTCAAAGATGGCCTTCCAGAGGGAAAACTCATCAGTTCATGAGAAACCCCACTCCCTTTTTAGTAGCTCTACTTGTTAAGAGTCATTTCTTAGAGTGACTTGACATTTAGTGACTTAAAGTGCCTAAACTGTAAATGAGGGCTCCCCCAACTGTCCCCCGAAGTACCACCAAGGATGGAGGCCCTGGGGCCTCACCCTATCACCTACACTCCCTTAAGGCATGTGAAGACACCTCCTGACACCCCAAGACATCCAGGGCCATGGCTCCAGAGACCCGCTCGGAGGGGCCAGTGCTGACTGCTCACCTGGATCTGCCCTGGGCCGATGTAGAACTTCTTTAAGATGTTGATGAGGAAGTGCTGGACCTCCACCCAGGGGTAGATGCTGTTGGAGCCGTCCAGGACAATGACGATGTCCATGTAGGTCTGGCACCCTGCGAAGGTGGACATGGTTATGGCCATCCAAGGAGCCAGGGTCTGACAGTCTCTGATTTTCAGGGTGACTTTCAAAGGGTGACAGAAGGAGGACTGCGTGTGTGGTTCCCTGGCTGGGAGAGCCATCCTCAGGCTGGACATTTATTCAGGTGACACGAGGGAGGAGCTGGGAGTCCCTGGCTGTGTCCCACTCCTTCCTCTGAGGATTATTTGAACAAAACTCCCTGAAGCCTGCACTCCTCTGCTCTGGATTAGGGACTGACCCAGCTGAAGAGTCCCTGCTTCCGAGGCAGCTGGGCCTGCCCAGTTCAGGCCCTCCTTGTCACTTCCTTCACTTGCACCCTGAATGGATGGATTTCATTTTTTAGAACAGATGTAGGGTGTCGGGCCAGGAACATGGATTTGGCATTAGGCTGCTCAACTCCTGGCCTTACTACTCCTTGGCTATGTGACCTGGGGGAGTCACTTAGGGTCTCAGCCCCAGTCTTCTCTGGCGTCAAAGAGGCGTCGTGATGAGGAAGAGGAGTTAGAAGAATACAGGGCTGAGCACAAAGCAAGCACCCAACACATCTTAGCTGAGGCTGCTTTTTCATTTTCTTAAGCAAAGCCCCGAGTTCACAGGGCTGGGACATCACACGAGCATGCTCTGGGCCTTTATCTCTGCCTCTGAATGTAAAGCTTTCTTTATATTCTTGTAATATTAATACCAGATTAAAAGGCATCATAAAAACCAAGGAAAATGAGTAAAACATGGGCATCCTAACAAACGTAAAAAATAAAAACCTCTTAAAATCTAAGCAATCCTTGCCAACAGCTGGGCGATGCTGGATGAGAGCACACTTTATAGCTGTACATCTGCTTATTTTTACTGGTGGATTTTCACACTGCTGTAAAGTCTACTTTACATCAATGCTCTGTGTCTTTTCAGCGCTGGCCACTCTTGTCCTTGCACTGTGAAGGCCTGCGTTGCCGGGCTGGCTCCCTGCTGCCAGGGCGAGCGGGGTGGGTGGCATGGAGCCCAGGGGCCTGAGGGGCTTGGTGTTCCGTGGGGCATCTTAGGCGCTCAGTCCTTGCTACCTGCAGGCTGGGTGCAGCGTGTGGGTGCCCAACCCTGGGGCCTGGCTGAGCCTGACAGAATGAGACCAACTCCTATGATCTGTGGGTAGGGTCCAGGATTCTTTTATATATTCAATCATTTTTATTATTAGAATGAATTTGTTATCACTGATTTCTCTCTTATGATTCTAGTTAATTATTTTTGAAATTTCAATTTTTAAAAAAAGACACCTTGGGAAGAATCTGCCTTTGATTGTGGTTCCTTAAACACAGCTGAGTATGAAGAGTCCTCAAACAAGTAAGAACAGAAATTGCATTCGACCCAGCTATTCCTCTTCTAGGTATCTTCCCGAAAGAGTTGAAGACATCATATTACAGTGATATGTGTGTACCCATGTTTATAGTGCACAACTTGTAATAGCTACATCTTGGAAGTGGTCTATACATCCATCAACACATGAACAGAGAAAATGTGGCATTTACACACAATGAACTACTACTCTGCCATAAAGAAAGAAAAATTGGAGTCATTTTTAGGAAAATGGATGCACCTTGAGGCTATAATGTTAATCAGATACACAAGCTTAAATATCACATCGTTTCTCTTATATGAGAAACTCAAAATATAAACAAAGCACAAACTAAAAGATAGATAATAGAAAACAGGGAGGAGATAGATTCTTTGCAAATGAGCCAGGGACCAAGCGAGGGAGGGAAGAGGGAGGAGGGGGAGGGTAAGAAGATAACAAAAAATTACAGTGTGTTATGCATGGGCACCGACTTCCCAGGAGGAATGTAAGGAATCATCATGTACTGCAAGCCTATTCAGAAAAAAATAACCCATACAAACCATGGCTGAACCCTCTCTTGGGGGTGCGCTCACGCACGTGCGGGCTCTCTCTCTCTCCCCACCCCCCCCTTCCTGGCGCCTATCCCACACCTGCTAGATCAGAACCTCCAAGGGCACCCTGGAGCCTGTGTGTGCTAAGCGACCAGCGCAGGGCTGCTGGTCAGCCAGATCTGAAGGCCTCTGCTGCAGACACATAGGGATGCTGGCATGGTTACATCTCAGCCCAGAGGGGACAGTAGCTCTTTGGATGTGAGGACCCCTAGTGGACACCCCAGGAGCCCTGACCCCCTGGGCTCTGGTGCCTCACCCCCTGAGGGGATCCCTCACCCTCCAGCCCCTGCTGGCCTGGTGCTTCCTCCGACTCCCTCCACTGACTGGGCCATTGTTTGCAGAGAGGCTGCAGGCAGCCAGAGGTGCTAATCCCTCTCCTGCCATAAAGCTGCCACAGCTGCCTGGTTGAGGGTACCAGCCCAGAGGAAACAGTGAGGCTCAGGGCCAAGATGTCTGGGCTTTCCCCGAGCCAAGGCCTGATACTAACTCCCCAGGTTTTCTTGGGAGTGGTGGTGGTGGGGGTTGTGTTCTATTAGCCACAGGGCAAGCTGGGCTGAGCTCCCTCAGGTCCAGGAGCAGTTGAGATAAGGATTACTAAGGGCCTCCACCCTACAGGGATACTGCTTTGCACAACTTCAGGGAGCACCATTCACACTGTAGCCTAAGCGAGTGACTCTCAGAATGGAGCCATGTATAGTTTTCCTGCAGTACATGCTGGCCTGGCAACTGCTTCCATGCTTGGGGGTTTTGTGCTGAGCCCCTCTGATGCCAGGGCGGTCCTGATAGCCTCAGCCCATCTGGGGGAGGCTGGCCAGGCTTAGGACTCCCACAGAGGCCCAGCCAGCTGCAGTGACTCTGCCCTGGTTATCCAGAGGGCTGGGGCAGGGCTGTTTCCACAGGACAGCTGTGGTCAGAGCCCAAACCTCTCTGGATTGCCCTGCCCAGCTTGGGTCTGCAGGTCTGAAGTCACTTACTCTGGAGGGCTGGGGCCACGGTCTTGGAGAACCGGAAGTTGGCGTTGACTCTCGAGCACATCCCTGTGGTGTAGTAGGAGCTGCCACACTCGTGAGACCAGAGCGGGCTGCAGGCCTGTGAAACACAGCAGTCAGAGGGTGGGGCTCCTGGAGGGTCAGGACCAGTGGTCTGGGGCCCAGCCCTCAGCTCCATGACCAAGGCAGACTCCTCTGAGTGCTGGGGACCCAGGGGTGACAGGATCCCTGTCCTGTCTAGCTGAGTTCTTTCTCGCAATGGGCATTGGTTCCCCTGGTCTCAGGTGTCATGGGGACAACGGGTCTTGGAATTGTCCTTCCTGTGCTTTAGGGTGTGACTTCTTCCCCCTACCTGCGCACCTCATTGTCCCCACAGGGTCTGGGACAGCCCTTGGGGCTCACTAACTAGCTCTGCTGTCTGCAGGAGTCACCTGGAGGTTGTTACTGGGCAGACTTTTGGGGCTGGGCCCCAACAAAATTCAGGGTCTCTTAGTAGAGAAAGGAAAAAACATCTCCCCTCTGTGACATGTGCGACCAAGCTGCTGTCATCAGGCCCTTGTTGAAGGACTGGGTGATGGGTTTCTCTCTAAGGCAGAGGTGTTGAAAGAGAAAACCTAGCTCCACGCCTTCCTGTCCTGCCATCAAGGACCCCTGGGCTAAACTGCCTGCTGTAATTGCTTGTGGTTTAGGGGAGTAATTGTTCTATTCCCAAACCTTTCCTTTATTAACTTTAAAAAAATCTGTCTATTAAAGATGTTGTTTTATCTGTGTATTTTGCTGAAGTGCTGTGAATTATTTTTGGAAGCATGGAGGAAATAAAGAATGGCAGGATGGATGGATGGATGGAAAGATGATGGATGGATGATGAATGGATAGATGGATGATAGGTGGATTCAGGAGGGGATGAGGTGGAAGAGGGATAACTGAATGGGAGGATGAGGGAGTAGATCACTAATAGCTAGATGTGTAGATGGATGAATGGATGGATGATAGATGACGAATGGGTGGATGGATAATGAATGGGTGGATAAACTGATGAATGAACAGACAGATGGCCGATGGGCAGACACAGGAAGGAATGGTGGAAGAAGAGATGACTGAATGGGAAGGTGAGTGGGCGGCTGGATGTATGGGCAGGTAGGTAGATGAACAGGATGGATGATCAGCGGGGGAAGAGAATTGATGAGTGAATGAATGAACTTAATAAAAACTTGCTATTTATAAGCAGAGACCTACAGAGAGGCCCCAGGGACCCCTCTCAAATGCTCATGCCACCTGGGAAGTAGGAGAAATCAAGTTAGCAGGACTGTGACAAGGAGCCTCAGAGGGTAGGGGGCATGGGGACTGAGCCCTGATGGATGTGTGTGTGGACAGGGCCAGGGTCTTTGTCCTTGGTTGGGATGGCAAAGGGCAGTGGCCTGCACCTACGTGGAGGCATCTCGTGACCTTCCCTGGTGGGGCCACCATGTTCTCAAGATCCACGGAGTTAGCCATTTGGTGCACCATGCCCCAGATGCCACATCTGCCAGCAGAAATAGGCTGAAGGACCAGAGCAGAGAATGACACCAGCCCTCCTACCTAAGAGCGAGTGACGCTTTTCTTGTTCTTTGCTATACTGAGAATGGAACTCAGGGCCTTCACCCTGAGCCTTTATTCTGAGACAGGCCCTCACTAAGTTGCTAAGTTGCCCAGGCTGGGCTCAAACTTAACAGTCCTCCTGCCTCAGCCTCCCAGAGTGCTGGGATTACAGGCATGCACTACCATGCCTGGCTTGGATGGTGTTTTGTGTTTTTTTTGGTACCGGGGATCCTACTCAGATCCTTGCACTCTCGAGGCAGGCAGCGGAACCACTGAGCTAAATCCCTGGCCCTGTGGATGGTGTTTTTTGCTGAGCTTTCTGGGACAATTTTTCTCTGAACCCTCCTTGCACCTGGCTCTAGAAAGCACTGGTCCCCTGTTCTGAACCCCGAATGTCACCCATTCTCACAGGCAGGGGTTGCTCCAGTGAGGTGGCCGGGCGCAGGTTGTGGTTGTCCATCACATGCCCTGCACCTCCTTCCTTGGTGCAGAGCCTGTGTGTCCCCCTCACTGGGCAGGGACAGACACTGCCGGCATTGGCGCACATTTCTTATTTTTTTATCCTCTCTCCCCTAGCGAGAGTGAGAGTCCCAGCTGGGCCGGAGGGAGCCCTGTGCACAGCCAGGTCCCTGGCGCTCTTCTCTGGGGGCTTAGCGCAGATTGGTGTTCGAATGAATGAACGAATGAATGAATGGTTTCCACCATCTCGGCCCAAACACTGCCTTCTCTTTCTTCCCTGCTGATACCTGCGTGTTCCTGACAAAGGAGTGTGGAAGGGAGAGCAGGGGGCGCTGGCTCTTACCAGGAAGCTGTTGTCCTTGGGGTTGGTGGCGAGGCTCAGGCCCAGGCGCATGTTGTCCTTCCGCTCGGACACGTTGGACAGGGTGACCCTTCCTGGGGTAAAAGGGACAAGTCAGGCGCACCCTCTCCTGCCTGCCCTCTCCCCAGGCCCTGCTGCTGCTGGTGCCCCGAGGTGCCTGGGTCCCTACAAGTCCTGCAGACAGCCCAGGATGTGGTTGCATCCTTACAGGCAGCAGGAGGTGACAGACTGGACTCAGAGAAGCTGGGCAGATGCACAAGGTCACACAGGCAGCTTGCAGCCAGCCTTCCAGCTCCTGGTCCCATCTTGTTCTCCATCAGCCATTAGACTGGACCCCAACACCCCCCTGGGTCACCCCAAACTCGGTGCTGAGTGGGACTCCCTCTGTGACTGTCTTCTACACTTCCCTCACACCCACCTAACCCATCAACCCTCAGGCCCCAGGTCTTTCGTATTTTTTTTGGTGGTGGTAGTATTGGGGATTGAACCCAGGGCCTTTGCCCTGAGCTACGTCTCCAACCCTCTTTTGTTTTTTCATTTGAGGCAGGGTCTTGCTAACTCGATAAAGCTAAGCTCAAACTTGTGATCCTCCTGTATCAGCCTCCCAGAGAGCTAGGATTATAGATGTGTGCCACCACACCCAGCTCCTACTCTTCCTAGCCCTACTCTGGCCTTCAAAAAAACTGGCAGGTATACCCGAGGGATTCTCTACCACAGGTAGTGAGCAGGCAACTTGACAAGTGTCTTCTACAGGGACAAGTCCCTGCCTGGGAACATCGTGGCTGCCAAGAGGGACATTTGGGAGCCGGGACGGCAGCTGGCTGGGGTGGGGAGGGGGCTGTCTCCGTGGCAGTTTCTGGGATCATTCTTTCAGGTCACCAAAAGGAAGGAAAGGAGCTAGGATTCGCCAGGAGCGTGTGTGGGAGCACATGCGTTTCCACACAAGCTGGGAGAGGCTGGACCGCAGATGCCCCAATCTGCAGTAGGGAGAGGCCCTGTGAGTTCCTTGTTGGGGGCTCTGGGGGTCCGGACCTCAAATAGTTTGCATCCTATCTTGTGGGTGCGTGGACCTGTGACATGGTGGCCCCAGGGACAGGTGCAGGGTGGGGCATTGGCTTTGGCACAGGACAGCAGCTCCAGGGCCGTCCTGAGGCTGGTGGGGGGCTATTTGTTATTCATGTCCCTGGGTCCCCTCAGTTTTCAGCAAGGCTCCTTTGGAGGACTAGTCCAGCCCGCCGGGCTGAGTGAGGCTCCCTTCTCTGTGCTTCTGTCTGACGGGCCAGGATGGAGGACGAAGGGCAGCCTGCATTTCAGAGGCCCTGGGTCACCTCCCCAGCCCCTGCCCTCCCTCAAACCCGACTCTATCTGGGTGTTGGGAAGGAAGCCGCAAGCATAGATTCTCATACCGAGGTGCGAATGCCTGACACCCACTTAGGTGTCCCTGGAGGGAGGACAGAGCTGCTGGCAGTGCTGCCCAGCCCTGGGGAGGCTGTAGGGGAAGCCAGCTTTCCCAGCCTTGGTGTTCCAGCTCGGGGCTAGCCTGGCAGATAGTCCCCCTCCCTGCATTCTCTTCTGAGGGGAGGGAGAGAACCAGTCCTCAAGGGAAGATGATTTTCCTCCATCCCAACTCATTTTGCTCCCCACCGCCTCCTGGGCCTGTGCCTCAGCTTAGAAATCCTTTCCAGAAATGCTTTACGTCTCTTCCCCATCTGTAGACATGGGGCCCATGCTAGAAGCCGAGGGAACAGGGGAAACTAAATGTTTGTTTCCGTGTCCATGCCCCTCTGGGACCCGGGGCTCCTTCCGGTGGTGGCCTGAGCTCTGGGCACAGTGGCCGCTGCCCGTACTTCTACCCCAACCACAGTGCCCTTCTCCACTTATTTAACAGCCTCGGCTTCTTGGTCCTCTGTATCTACATGACTACAGTACTTAGGGACAGAGGAGACCTCCTCACTTCTCAAGTGAGCAAGGCAAGGCCTGGAGAGAGGGTGTGTGCAATCCAGGCACACACAGGAGAGACCAGGCAGTGGGGTGGGGATGGCAGGGCGTGGGGCCGTCAGCTAGCACGGTCCACTCAGTGCAGCTGGGGCCCACAGTGCTGGGCTCTGACCTCGCCACCCTGGCGGCACAGACATAGATGTGGATGGCGGAGCCTCAGGCTCCATGTGACCGACAGCTGGCGGCCTGGGCGGCTGCACCTTTGGAGCTCTCACGGTTCCAGCCTGTGCATCCACCTGCTCATCTCTTCAGCCTCTGGCATCTCCTCCTGGGCCTACTGCCCTGCCCGTCCCCACCTCCCCAGGGAGCCCCACTGATACTCTGGGCCCGAGCGACCTTGAACTCACTATTGGACCCAGGCTGGGCAGACTTGCTGGGACGCTTCTGCCTCAGCCTTCTGAGTGCTGGGGCGGCAGGCCACCACGCCTGGTGGTCCCTCAACTGTCAGGCAGTTGAATCTCAAGTGAGTGTAGTGGGGCTCAATGAGTGAAAATAACTTAAATGCTCTTAGTCCGGCTCCTGGCATATGGTGAGGACTGTTTATTATCCAAGGGTGTTTGCTGTGGCTGCTATGATCTCACAATCAGAAAGAAGGCAGGAAGTGATTTTTCTCCCCAAATTAATGGCAAGAAAGGGATGAGTTTGGGACACTGGAGTCCCAGCTTTGAAGCTTGGCCACTCCCTGACAAGCTATGCAACTATGGGCAAGTTGCTCCCTCTCTGCCCTCGGCTTCCTCATCTGTAATATGGGGGGGTGGGGGGGTGGCATCGGCTGGGTCACCTTGTGGGGCAGCGAGGAGGCGCCAGGGGCCCTGCACACAGATGTGCATAGGGCCGCTCTGCACCGGACAGGCATGAGGCTGGCGGCCACTTACCCAGGTTGAGCTTGGTGCAGTTGCCCTGGATCACAGGACACTTGTAAATGTCGCCTGTTTTCTGGTGGCCGTTGGTTTCCAGTGGGGCACCCACAACCAACCTGTGGAGGAAGAGAGGACAGCACAGTCGCTGGGGGACACGCTCCTTCTTGCCAGGGGACAGGGCTAGGTGCAGGGTTCCTGTTCCTAGGAAGATGGAGCAGCAGCCCCAGGAGAGCAGTGCACCCTTGCCTATGTGCGTGCACACAAGGGAAGGTAGGTCAAAATATACAGTGAGTGTTTAAATTAAAAACTTATTATAGTAAAAGACACATCGCCATTCATTCCCCTTGAAATTCTCCCTTTTGCTGCAAATACACTTATCCCATTGTTCTTGCCACTTTCTGCAGCAGATCTCGTTTGTGAGTGTCTTTATGAAGTGTGATAAAAAACACTGTGAATGCTGCATCCGAGCACCATCTAACAGAAAGGCAGGCCGGTAAAAACATCACAGTGTGGGACCAGGGATTTAGCTCAGTGGTTCTGCTGCCTGCTGTGTAAGCACAAGTTCCTGAGTTTGATTCCTGGTACCAAAAAACAAAAAACATCACAGTGTGTCCTCATCCACCTTATTCATCAGGTCTGGCACCACGCGACCTCTGGCTCTTCCCCAAAGGCAAAATGACCACAAAAGGTTAGCATTTTGAATTAGTTCAGGACATGCAGGCAGCCACAACAGCGGCTGAAGACACTTATGAAAGAGGACTTCCAGAACTGCTGTAGAAAGTAGTAAGGATGATGGGATAAGTGTGTCCAAAATGAGAAGACTCTGATGGCAATTATGGCAAAGCTGTCTTTTACTATAACAGATAGATGATAGACGGATAGATATTTACCATGTATTTCCAGGATGCCTATTTCTAGCCTGATTCTTTTCCTTCTGGCAGGCTGAGCCCTACTGGTCTCCTGGGAGGAAAAACCAGTGACTCTTGGGCTGTGGCTTGGGCTCAGCCCCCTTCAGGCCAGGGAGAGTTTGGCCCCAGCCTTGAGGATCTCTGAGAATATCCCATGCATTTCCCAAACCTCTTCCACAAGTGTCTCCAGCTGGGGACAGCACCCTCAGGGGTGGCCTAGAAATGGCCTGGGGGGTCTGCAGGAGCCTGGCCTGACCTGAAGTGCAGCCTCCCATGCCCATTGTCAGCAGCATGGCGCTTGCTGTGTTTGGAGCCCTCAGGGGCTTGGGTGCTCACCTCACTTTCTGCTAAGGCCCAAGGGCTAATAATAGTGACTCAAGATCAAAGTCCCCGCCAGGTGTGGTGGCACATGCCTATCATCCCAGCACTTGGGGGGCTGAAGCGGGAGCATTGCTATCAATTTGAGGCCAGCCTGGGCTACATAGTGAGTTCAACGCCAACCTGAACTACACAGTGAAACCACGTCTCAAAGAGACAAAAAGAAAAAAAGCTCAGTGTCCCTTTTCAGGGACAGCAGTGTGATAATGGGGGCCCACAGCTCACAACAGACGTAGAGACCTCCAGATTGGAGGAGTGCAGAAATGATGGGGAACTGGAGACACAGGGACAGGCGAGGCATTTGGGAGCCCATTAAACTTGCCTTTCCAGTAGCTGCCCACCGCCTGGCCACACAGTCCAAAGAAAACGCCACCACTTGCTTTCTGACGTAAGGTGGTGGAGAGGAGCCACCTAGGACTTTGATGGCTTCTTGCGGCCACAGGCTCCTCACCCTGCCCGCCCCAGCTCTGCTCTGCCCAAAAGAGCCAGGTCCCAAGCAGGGATCCACAGGGGTCTGTGTGAGCCTATGTCTGTGAAATCAGAGCTGAGGCTTGTCCCCTGGGGAGCCACATAATGACAGATTCTAAATACGGCTTCTTATAAGCACGACAGTTTTTGACTGGCAGGAATTAATTGGACCCATAAAATCTGTTTGTCTAGACGACGTGCTTTTTGGCTACTTAATTCTGGGAATGAATGTGTGGTCAGGGCTGCTCTGTTCTTTCCAGAAAGGAGGGAGGCAGGGAGAGACGGAAAGATCTGTCAGAAAGCTGTCTTCAAGCTTGCTTCTCCGAGTGCTCTGGCTTTCAAGGTCCATCCAACATGTGACAAGTCCTCCTGAGGGATGTCCCCTCCTGGGCACACTGCTGGATGATGGGCGCTTTCTGGACAGAGTAGCTCTGTTCAGGCTGGCCTTGAGCTCACTATGTAGCCCAGGCTGGCCTTGAACTCATGGCAATCTTCCTGCCTCAGCCTTCTGAGTGCTGGGATTACAGACGTGTGCCACCAGGCTCAGTTTCCGTGAGTCTCCTAGAAAGCCCCCCAGCCTGACAGAGGCCAGCTCCTCCCAGCTCTTCCCGTCTTACAGAGCAGAGCGCTGAGGTTGCCTCCTTGGAAGGCCCCAATAGAGACTGAGCCCCTTGGTTGAGAGCCAGGAGCCGGGTCTTGGCTCTGCCATCATCCAGCCCCCAGCTGCCCTCCTGGTCGCCTGCTTGTCCGCCGCCCCTGCAGGCCCTGGACTCGCCAGCCTCCATAATAACCACACAGCCAGTTCCTCCCACTATGAGTCTCTTGAGCAATCGGTTAACTTTGCATATCTTGGTTTTCCAGGCTGTGAAATGGGATTAAAATCTTTTCACTGCCCATGTCCCAGGGCCACCACGGAAAGCCTCTTATTGCTGCATCATGAGTCTCTTTGCCAGGGAGGGAGCCTAGTCAGCTCCCTCCCTGGGCCTGAGGCTGGGCATTACATGTGCCTGTCAGGCTTGAGGTTTGGAGCGAGTAATTCAGTATCACTTTGAGGGATAAGCTCCTGCCGAGCAAGGAAAACGCTCACGTCACCACCAGAGGAGCCAGACTGCCTCTGGGGTCTGGCAGCCCCAGGCGTGCCCTGTGGCCTTGGAACTATGCAGCCATCTGAGGGCTCAGGCTGGTGGTCTCTCACCCAACACCCTCTCCTGTGGGCATAGGCGGCAGGACAACCCCAGAGGTCTCAGCAGTCATCGGTTCCTCTGGGGGCTTTGTGCCATGAGCCACCGGCTGTGAGTTCCCCACATCTTCCCCCACAGCCTAGGTACATTTATATGTACATTGTACCAGCGGACAATGGTGGATCTGCATTTAAAGTTAGCAATGCTTTCTCTCTGGTGAAAACAAACCTAAGCAGAAGGTGAATCACCTTGTTTCTTCTCCCCAGCATGCTGCCTGGCCTATGCTCCCTGCATGGCCCCCACAACCACCCCTTAAGAAGCTGCCCACACCCCACCACCCCCAGGAACCTCTTGCTGATTGTCCCAGATAAACCAGTATGAAATCCCTGCTGTCCCATGAGCCCAGTGTTGTACAGTGCGAAACCCTGAGTAATGAACTCAATTAGTTTGTGTTTGGTTGTAATCCAAGTTGGTCAGTTGGTCACTTAGAGGCTCAGGCTCCTCTGCACAGCCTTCAAAGTCTCTCTCCTCTATACAGGCCGACCTCAGTGTCCTTAGAGAGACATTGGCCCAGGACTTCTCAGTGAACCCCACGCAGGATAGGATGCTGTAATGTTCCTTTGGAACTCTGTAAGGGTTAAATCTGTATCAAAGACCATCTGGAAGCACAAGCGGCCAGCATTTGGGCTGTAACTCAAGACTTTGATTGTAAGTTAAAACTAAAATTTCAGTTATAACCCAAGTTGGTTGAATGTCAGGCTGGTCATCACTTGAGGGTCTACCGTAGTGTGATTTCTTGGGCTAGAGCAGCCCTGGTCTGCCCTGCCACGCCGGTGGAAGGTACCACTGATGGCACATGGTAAAGGCTCACCACTCCCTGACATGGCCTCCTCTGTGACAGCGTGCAGAGCAGCTGTGGCCCTGAGACTTCTGGCTTTGCCTTGGGCCTGAGAGAAGATGTCAAATTCAGTGCCTGGCAGAAGAGTCTGTTCCGTGCACAGAGGTCCCATGGAATGGCCCAGCTTCTGGTCTGGAGCCTGTGTTCTTCCTCCCAGTAGTTCTCATGTCTACTGGGGGACCTGGGAAGTCTGGTTTAATTCCTAGTTCCAGGGATGGAGCACATGGGTTAGGCCAATTTTATCTCCCAGCTCCAACAGGTCACCAAGTCATCCCACTCAGAGGGACTCTCAGGACTTCTGCTCAGGATGCAGGGACCAAGCTGACCTCTTTCCTCTCATAGTCAGGGATGTAAGTCCTGGGACTGTTGGCAGCCACTTTGTGAGGCTGAGGGGTGGGAGCTGACACATGGAGAAGGAGAGGGATGAATGAAGAATCAGAAGGAAATCAAGTCCTGAAGACAGTCTGAACCCCTGGTCCAACTATACTTGAAGCGCACACTACTGCTGGACTTTAAAGATACATGGGCAATAACTACCTTTCTCTGTATCTGTCTGGTTGAATCAAGTTTTCAGACATTATAACTAAAAACACGCTAACGGTTAGACTGTATAAGGCAAAAAAGGCACATCAGTAATTACCTTTAGAAAGCTCATAAATCACTGTAAGAAATACATGGCATCTAAAAACAGAGAGAGAGGAGCAAACTTGTGTCCCCCAGCTCGGGCAGAGCCACCGGCACCTTGTTTAACTAAAGGTAAAAAGCTACCCCTCACCTGGCCTTGGGGAACAGACTCCCTTTTTTTCCTTTTGCACCCTACTTACAGCAGCCCCTCGGAGCGGGGGACCCCCGCACTCCAGATGTTTCCAGTTACCTGGAGACTGGAAGCCCTGGAGGGCAACTTCCTCTGGCAGCCTTGGAGGGGGCAGCCAGAGCCCAGGGCAGGGAGGTGCCAGGGCCCAGGATGTAGGCAGGCAATGGCAGAGAGCACTGCTATGCGGTGTGCTGCCTCCCTGGCCAGTGGTCCCCAAAGCCCAGAAGGGTGGGCAGCCTGGGGGCCAGGGCCAAGGCTCAGCCAGGCTTTTATTGGCTGTCTGGTGAGGCAGGTGTGAGCCACTCAGCAGCAGGTGGAAGTCCAAGGCCATGAGCACTAATGACCGTGGGATGCTTGGGGAGGGAGGAAGGGACCCCCAACGGCTTCTGGAGGAGTCCTGAGCCAGAGGCTGGCTGGTTGATAAGAAGTACATGGTGCAGGCTCAGTCCCCTCCCTGCCAGCCTGTGGC